CCTTCTTTTGTCATCATATAGATGGGATGAGGCTTTTCTTTTTTCAAGACGTGGCGAACATGCATTTTCGCAGCAGCGTAACAACAATAAGGGTTTCTTGTGGGATGCTCTCCACTGTTCTATCATCATCACCAAGGAGGGCTGTACAGTACACGGGCATCATTGGGTTGGGTAGAGATGTGCTCATGAGCTGGCGTTATATGAGCTGGCGTTGTTTGTCAATTATATTATTACAATAGTCTTAGTCTAGTTTCTTGCTATCCAGTTCCCAATCGGAAATGGCAAACAAGATCACATCGCCTGCTATGGATGTCACGCCAAACACGTCCATAGTATTAGGCAGAAGTACTTCATACAATTTGGCATTGTTGAAAGAGTCCATCCTATCGCGCAAACCGAACCCGTGGCATCTCATTCTGCAGCCGTCCGCCTTGGTATCATGAAATGCCACGAAGCGTGGGAAATTCAAGTGGTCGAGAACTACCAGTCTAAAGGCGAATAGTAGGGCTGTGCATTCGGAATATCCAAAGGATGACACATTCAATGTAAAGGTACCCTCGATTTGCACAATCTGTTCTACGGTGCCCCAGACTAGCTCGGTTCATCAAGCTAAAATGGTAGGACTGCGGAATACCGGTGGTGTCTCAGATCTCGCCAGTGTCCCGATATAGGCCTTGCTTTGTTCGATTTCCTTGCTTTTTTTGGTTTCTTTTCCTTTTTCCCTTTTCCCCCCCTTTTCTCCCCCCTTTTTTTTCCTTTTGAAATATCACAAAAGCGCATACATGTACCATTTATTCAATACCAGATCAACATGCGAAATGAGAGGCATTGAGAATTCCACGGGAGTGTTACCTCGCAGCTTTTCCACTGGCACAAGCAATCTCCCCAAGGCGGCTAAAATTACGGCCCGCCAGAAAGCAAAATTGAGTGGCTGCCATGTTGATGGGGCGTATCACTCAGCTGCCTCCCAAGAAGGGTTGGTTGTGAAGGAGAGGCCAAAGCGGTCCCGACAAGCGTTGATGTTTCATATGTCTCGCCTGGCCACGCGCCACCGCTAGTAGTTTGTGTATTGCAAGTTTTAGCAGCAAGCGTCTGCGTGCCTATTCTTATCATCTATACCTACGAACAAGGGAGTCCGTGAATTGAACTAGGTTCCTTGTTTTGTTTCCTTGTTTGATGTTTGTTGCGATAGTCCGCTGAGGGGAGGGAGATACATTGTTCGTTCATTCTTAGTACCTGGCGGTCCGAGGGTCTACCTGGCTACATTTGGGTGTCCCAGCCTGCTACCGCTCACGCAAGCGCCGAATCACCGGCCTGTCTAGGTGTTTCCAAGTGAGACCGCAGGTTAGTAGCTAAGGTAAAGTTAGTAGGTAGGTACTTGGGAGATACTGACAGACACTGCGCAAGCCAGGCAGTGATGGATTCTGTACATTCCCAATGTACCTGCCTCAACTATATCGGTAGTACCTTCCTCCTTCCAAGGCAAGTTGCCGGTTTAGGCAAGGTTTAAATCCCTCCACATGCTCTTGCCTTCCCTTAGGTAGGATAATATCCACTCTCTTTCCGTCCTTGATGGTGAATGGCTGCTTCCAAAAGTGGCGGCACGATGTGGTTGGTAGGTACTTGGGGAAGGAGGCAAGCTGGTACGTCGCCTTCCGCCTGCTGGGTATGACGACAGAAGGTACCGCCTGCCCCAATATTGACCTCAGAAGTACAGAGCTGCGGCGCCATAGTCACCACCTACTGCGCTACACAACCGAATTCCCCACACCTCTCTGACCCCCCTCTATCCCAAGGCTTGACTCGCCGCTTCCGAAGCAAATGGCGCTGACCCAGAAAATTTAGGATCAACTGGCCTTTGTTGTGGTGTGGCTTTGTCAACAAGTTTTTCCCTTGTGCCACTGCCGTTCCTCCTTTTCACTCGCGCTCACCACCGTTCATCATACTCATGCGACTGTTCTTCCCGTCAATGCCGTTAGGTCTGTCGTCTTTGTGAAGCAGCGCAGCCCAGGAACTATAAAAGGCTCCAACTCGGTCGGCTGGCATCATGTGCATGTGCCTATCCTCAGCCTCCTGCGACCCCACGTTCGCCCCTCTGACCTGACCCCCTACCCTATCTCATCTTATCCATCAGCGCAACCTCTGGGCTCTGACATCAGCAATCCACATATCCAACCCTCAGTTTCGTACTTTCGTGAGAGGACCGAATCTTCCAGGGACCTAAACATTGGAGAACTGTGCGCGGTGACTCCCAAGTGGGTGGACACCCCGTCAATTTGAGGCCACCTTCACGTCAATTTCCATCGTCTATAATGGCGCAGGGATCGCAAGTTTGGCTCACCGCTGAAGAGCCACAGGCGGAGGTGGGAAGAATATACTCTCCCCAGACGATGGATTATCGCTTGGAACATGAAATACCTCAGGACTCAGGGACCCAGCAGTCATCTATGAACCTCACAAGTGAGCAGCAGGAAGTACCAGACCCAGGAAACCCCGACCTACGGACATTATCGAAATATGACCCGGCGCATTTGCCATCATGGCATTTCCAGGGTACAAACACCCCTCGAATTCCGCATCCTAGCGCACCATCACCGGTAGCTACTTTACCATCGCTCAAGATTGTCGAGCAGCCACAGATTCTCCAAGAGCTTCCAGCTTCTAATATCCAAATACCCTCCGAGGCGCAGTTCCTTGGCATATTGATTCCCAGGAATATAGATTCAAATGGGCGCACTGGCGCCGCCATATCTCAAGGGCGCCCTATTACTACATCTCTTCCCAGTCCAGAAATCGTCGAAAAGCTTCAAACTCCACCGCCAATCTTGGAGACAGCAGTTCATTTCGACTTTCGTGATAGCAGTAACCCAGTGGCACAAAGTATCGAGCCAAACGAGAAGACCTCCGCCTCCACCCTTCCGTTCCTTGAACCTGCTCTGATACCTCCAATGGCTGAGCAGGTCGTTTCTCAGGGTCTTCGGCATATTGACTTGGAAGGTGTCGAGGTAGTTTCGGCTAGTGATTCATCTGGTATCATCCACAACCAGAACCAAAAGGACTTGGAGGAAGATGCCAACTTTAGTGATCGGCAAGAAGCAGAGGCGACACAGTCAGAGGATACTCTCCCATCCCTAGATCGCGGCGAATCTCCGTCGACTGATAGCCTCAGCACCCTCAATTCCGATAGTTTTGACGAGAGCGCTTTTACGTTCCAGGATGCTGAGGAGAAAGAGAATGTCGACTTTGAACGGGATAGTGGGAGCGACGATATTCTGCGCCTCAAACCTACGTTGAGACAGTGGAAGGATTTCCCATCTCTTTTATCATTTGCGCGTGCTCACAACGCGGAACTTGATGGTTGCTTCAAGATTGTCCTCCCAGATGGTGCGCTTGAGGCGATTCCCGAAAAGCCAGCTCAACTAGTTGACGCAAATGCGTTTACGCCGCAATTGCTCCGCCCGTCTCGCATTTGGCGAGTAAACACTAAACCGACAACAGGCAAATTTCCGTCTTCATCTGATATTAAAGAATCCACCTTCACCGGAACCACCACCGAAGCCGCGAAGCGACTTTCAAAGATATTTTCTAAGAGTAGGAATCGCCAAATACGTGACGTGCGGTACCGAGTTGATGTTCCGGCTTGGAGCGTGGAACAGAGGCTTGCAGCTGGTGTGCCAGGGAAGAGCCCCCTTCACCCATTGAAGGGTGACAAGCTCGATCTGACCAAGGCCATCATTCCTGGTATTCATACACCTTATGTTTATGAGTCCGGGCCTGCCTTTGGTGCTACCTTCCAACTCCATGCCGAAGATTTCCGTCTATCATCTCTCAACCACCTGTACAAAGGACGAAAAATTTGGATCATCATACCTTCGGCAGCAGTTGGCCTTGCCGAGGAACAGCTCGGACGCAATGAAAGATGCTCGCAGTTCATGAGGCATCGTGCCGAGTTTGTGTTTCCGGAGAGGCTAGAGCGCCTGGGCATTCCGTATCGGCTGATTGACCAACGCCCCGGCGAGACGATTGTGATTCTTCCAGATGCATATCACGAGGGATTTAGTACGGGATATACTTTGGCGGAAGCCAAGAATTATGCCGAGGAGACATGGAGCACTGAAACATATCAACCATGTGACGCTACCTGTCAATTGGCCACCGCTATACCTGGCGATTTCATGAGAATTATCGAGGACGGTGAAGACCGGCTTGACTTATGCTCATCGTACGATGACGACTCACCTGAACCAATGAAACGGGAGCTGGAAGAAGAAGATAGCGCTTCCGAAGAATCCACGGAACAGCAAGAACAGCAAGAACAGCCAGAACAGCCAGAACAGCCAGAACAGCGACCGCGGAAAAGGATAAAGTGGATTAAAGGTGGTATGTCTTCTAATGTGTCCAATTAGGACTTATAGGCCTGTCGATGTTAGATTGTTTTCGGATACCCCATCAAATCTTTCTGCGGGATCAATCTGGGATGGAGATAGATTCTTGGCGTTTGGAGTATGTAGAAGCCCGTCTACATTATGTTTGGTAGTCGATTTTGGAGTCTAGGGCTGCACCTCTGCGTGGCGTGCAATGGATGTATATATTGGGTTGTACTACGGGTCTCTGAGGGATAATGAAATAATGAAGACCGTCAGTCGGGTACGGTAGGGCAGGACTGGACTGGATAGGTGCGGCGTTCGGAGTTGGTGAATTCCTCCTTCTTTTTCCAATTGTATGACAATGGCGTTCTCATTATGTCGGTTAATAACCCGGAGGGGTAATGAACAAGCTGTGGTAACCATCTAATTCTTTATGAGATTTGTGTCCAACTCCTCATGTTGAGAGAAGCATGGTCTTTGAGAATGATTCTGGAAAATATGTTCTCAATCTACTCTTTATTTCATAAGCGTGATAAGGGTACATAAGCATTACATCTACTCGTCCAAGCCCTAGTTTTCAAATACAGATCTAAAAGGAAATCCAATCCGACATGGCCAAACTTTAAGGTTCTCCTAAAGAGCATGGCCGCCCCGATGGTCATCCTGCCTTCGAAGCTCATCCCGGAAGGGGTTGCTGCGTGCGCTGGCACCCTTGAAGGTGGTGGAGACGGGTGTGCCGACGAGGCTGCCGAGGTCACTGTCGTGCCTGTTGTGGTTGTGGCTGGGCTGGTCGCGATACTCAAAGACGGGGCTCTCGGAGCGGTCCTGGAGGCGGATGCCCTCGTCCTTGTTGCGGCCGCCGCCGAACATGCGGCGGGCGGACCCGACTCCCGGCTGGTACCCGCGGGCGCGGCGGCCCATGATGTTGCCGATCTGGATGCGGCGGGACTTGCGGTTCCAGAGGCAGATGCCGATGAGGAGGAAGATGATGCTGCCGAAGGTGACGGGGAGGGCGATGATGAGGTCCTGGTTGTCGATCTTGTGCTTGACCTTCTGCGGCGTGGGGCGGGACTTCTCGAGGGTGAGGTTGAATGCGGTGGAGGAGGTGACGACGGCGGAGTTGTTGAGGTGCCGCATGAGGGTGACGGTGAGGTTGTAGGGGGACTGGCCCTGGAAGTAGTCGTTCTTGACCTCGAGGGGGGAGAAGCCCCAGGCGGCGGGGACCTTGTCGAGCTCGGTGAGCTTTGTCCAGGAGCCCTCCGGTTGGTCCTGGGTGGTGCGGTTGAAGTAGTCGAGGCGGAGGGAGATGAGGACGGTGGTGTTGGCGTCGATCTTGTCATCGGTCTTGTTGTAGTAGTCGGGGTCCCAGGTGACTGAGAAGGGCGAGGTTAGCAATTGTCTTTCATGAGGTTGAGTTTTGAGGAAAATGCAGCTTACCATAGTATGTCGTGTCCTTGTACAAGGTGCTGTCGGCACTGGGATCGCACAATGGCGCATGGTCGCCGTCCAGGTTGTGGCATCGGGTGAAGCCGCCCTGCTTATTCGAGTTGGTGGCCGTGGGCGCCGGCGGCGATGCGTACGTGGAGGTGTACAGGGCGCCGTGGTAGTTCTGGACGATGACGGTCTCCGTCAGGACCGAAGGGGGAGCGTCGGCCAGGTAGGTCGAGCCCTCCTTGTCGGTTGCCATGTGCGGCGTGTAGGTGGTGGCGGGCTGGCCCTCGTCGTTAACGGACACCCAAGGCGCGGACGGGTTGCTGTCTGAGCGCTTGTCCAGGGCGACGGGCGCCGCGGTGATGGCCGGGGCGGCGGCATTCTCAACAGCTGGGAAGGCAGAAGCGGTCCCCAGGAGGGCGATGGCGACGCCGAGGCTTGTTGATGTATACATGGCGGCGGGCTTGGGGAAACGCGGTTCGCGACGGGAGATTTTTTGGGATCGCAGTTTGCTGTCCCCAATGGAAGAAGAACGGTGAGAAAGAAAAGAATGACGAGACCGTTGATCAGACCAGCCGCGAGGAGGAGAGGACCCGGAGCAACCGAGGAGAAAAGAGCGTGAATTTCGGGAGAGTGAGCTCTTTTATTTATCACTGAGGCGAAAAAAAGACGATCCAAATGCGGGTGTCGAAGAGGCGCATTGTATCAGGGCATAATTCTTGGTCGCCGGTTGGCCAATGGCTAGGTTACCCCTGGACTTGGATTGTCCAGGGGCGCCATCTCCCTTCAGTGGATCGAATAGTGGGTGGCAAGGTGGGTACAGCGGGCGGGCCAGCCACTGTTGCAGACAGGCTGCCCCGGATACAGGCCCCAGTTGAAGATGCTCAGATACAGCTGGCAGGATTTTCATTTAGTGCTGTACCTAGTAGGCCATTGGGATGGATTGATCTCAATTGGCAATGCGGAGGGCGGATTCGCCCGTTTTCACGAGCAAGAAAGACCTCTGTGACCACTTGAGCACATACTGTGTTTCACAGACCGAATGCCCTGAACCCACGGCTCGATGCCCGCCCGACGTCACCTGCAGAAGACCCCTGCAGTAGACTCACTCCGCTGCATCCGGCAGCCGGCAAAGGAGCCAATCAACGAGTCCTCTGGGAGATCACAAGCAATCGAGATTGTAATGCAGAATAAAGAATTACCATTAACCATTCAGCTGCGCTAAGGGAGAAGACCTCCCTTATCCGAAAAAACATGTCAAAATGCTTGCCTGCGTGTGTGCTATTATCCGCGGCCCATCCTGCAAAATATCATCCGTATAAGCAAGCATCTCTTTCCGTCTGTCGCAAGATTCGCGCCATCGATGGAACGAAATCTCTATTAGCTCTGGCCCCTTGGATACGATGTTACCGCACCTCTTGAAATAAACTCCGTCTCACTCCCAAGCTCCGTTCGTATCTGCAGGTCGGGAGTGTCTCTTCTCAAATGATCCAGTATAGCCGCCATGACGCCCCGAAGTTGAGTACTTCCATGTCTCGAGCCATTATACATTAAGTTTGAAGTTGTATGCGGAATATAGATCAGAAAAAGGACTCCCTCCCCATCCCTTTGGTGGCGTCGACATGGTGTTGTAGAAATGCCTCCTCGACGTACGTACGGGGCTGCGAGAAAGTGGCCACGAGGCTACCACATCTCTGGGGCTCGGGTTGAGTGGGACTAACAGGAAGCGAGGGACGTGACGTGCTTGAGGTATCGTCCGAGTAGCTCAATGCTACGACGCTATCGGGGGTTCCGGGGCCGCTCTGCGATTCCTCGATCACTTCGAGGCGACATCTCCTTTCGAGCCTCTTGGTGAGCAGGCTGGCCTGCTCCCTTGGCTGCACGGGCTGCTTTGGTATCAGGTATCGGCGCGCAAACTCATCGCGCCGGCGCGTCTCTGCCAGCATCTGGGCCTCCCTGATCTTTCTGATGCGCTCTGCCTCGACCGCCATCTGGGCGCGCTTGACCACTGCCAATCTGGTGGACTCGCATTCCTCGATGGGGCAGGCCAGGATGTCGATGGTCATGGTGTCCTCCTAGGACACGTTTGGGCAGTCATCTGGCTTGGGTAGAGGGGCCGTCACGCTTTGGATGTGGTCGATGAGGTTGTTCAGGAAGTTTCGGCAGTACTTCCAGCTGACGTGCCGTTGGAAGAGGCAGAAGTGGCAGAGGGCCACTTGATTCGTGCACATGATGGGAGTGAAGACGATATCTTCACCTTGGCTAGCGATTCGCCTCTTTGATCTGGACGTTTGCGCTGCTGTGGTTCGCGTCGGGCCGTGTCAGGAAGTTGTTTCTGAGGCATGTTTAGCTTGAAGTGACACTTACGCGAGAGCGTAGGTGCTTCTCACTGTTTGGACAACGATTTTCCTCTTGCGCAAGGGTTGGCGATCGAAGAAGAGGTTCGCGCGCGAAGTCGAGACGAAGTTGGGTTCTCTCGCAAGAAGGAGGTGGATGGATAGATGATGAAGCTGGTTGGCGCTGAAGTGTGAATAAATTCAAAACTGGCTGAAAAGGGAAATTAGAAGAGAAGAAAAAGAAGAAAAGAGGCTGGGGATGGAAATGGATGTTGGAATAACAATGCGTGGTGTGTGGGATTGGGCGACTTGTGTTGTCGTCCTGGGCTACGCGCTGGAACTGAAGCGCACTCGTTGCCGGCTGTGGCGAGGATGGTCGCTGTTCACTAGCAACCAGCAGACTGACAATGGCTGTACGCCTCCCGCAATGGACCGCTTCTCTGTTACTGCGTCTACTAAAGTCTTGCCTACTAGTAGGTATCTGGCCTGTCACATCTGCTTTTTGGTATTTAGTTGGCGAGCTCCAACTTCCTGCTCCCTGAGGCGACGGACCTCAGGAGTTCTGGTAGAGGGTACCTCTCCAACTGATTATTTTTTTACAGCAAGAAGGTACACAGTACCTTCCCCTCCTCCTCTCCTCGCTCCCACTCGACATTGACCTGGTGATGATTCAGCCAGCTTCCCGTTTGTCACCAAATTGTTCCTCCTCACCTTCTTCTCACTTCACCCCATCTCATCACGTCACCTCGATCCCCAGCCCCCTCGTGCCCCAAAAACTGTTATCAAGATGAATCAGTGGCCATTCATCTATGATTCCGAATCTTCTGACCAATACCTTCTCTGCCTGCTGGTGCCTGTCAGGTGAAACATGATGCGGTGAGCACCCGCAGCCAGCGATAACAGCATCTTATTATGTCACGTGCAATGCTACATTTACTGCTAGTCTCCATCTGCGGCAATGAATCGAGCGAGATGTCAAGTCCGTGATATATTCATGGAGCGCTTTAGGATAGGCATGGCCATCTGACAGCGAGGTCTTAAGTGTCTGCTTGCATCCAAGACCGACGAGAGTTCTGGATAAGCAGAGAGAAGATCATCCTCTCGCCAGCCTTGAACAGCTCTGTTTGCTGATTTAACAATCCCGAACGAGTTGTTCATGGAGCTACGCGACCTCTAATTGCATTAGCCAGCCAGCCACTGTCGATCTGCGAGATATTACACATGAAGACAAAGGGAGTTCATTGATGATTAGGTCTCTGTCTCACCCAAGTCACTTCGTCCAACCTGCCGATCCAGGGACTCGCCCGATGAATAGGCTGACAATGTCGGTGCGGATATGCTACATGCATGTCTATGACCCCGGGTAACACCAGCATGGACACGCAGCACAGGCTCATCAGAGAGCGTGGGGGTCACACATCACCGCCCCTTGTGGTTATGAGTAACGCCCAACGGCGCTTGGTGCTATCATATATAATTCGGAATAGCCAGATTCACTTTTGTGGACCTGGTACAGCGGTAATGTGTTTGTATTTGGAGAGAGAGAGAGTAAGTATTAAATTGATCATGTATCCCCCTTTTCCCTCTGGTCTGGAGCATGAGATCCGTCTTTATTGTTCGCACCTCAGCGGGACAACTCTAATCATTTAACACAATCGTTGGATCTAAGATTTCGAACCAAATATCTACAATCATGACAACACCCGAGGGAAACGAAGGAAACCTGCATCCAGTGGCACCACTCAAGCCAGGATTATATGTTCCCACCGTTGCTTTCTTCACCTCGGACGACACGATCGATATTGGGACAACGGTATCCCACACTGCTCAGCTGATTAGATCAGGCATTGCTGGTCTCGTCACTCATGGCTCAAACGGCGAGGCTGTCCATCTCAGCCATACTGAGCGGCAACTCATCAACAGGACCACAAGGGAGACGTGTGAGCAAGAGGGGGTCCCGGACATGCCCTTGATTGTGGGCTGTGGTGCTCAATCGACCCGCGAGACCATCCAGCTATGTCAAGAGGCCGCAGGATCCGGCGGTACACATGTCATGATCCTTCCCCCATCATATTACGGGGCTCTCTTGACTCCAGATCTCATCATTGACCATTTCCGCAGTGTTGCCGATGCATGCCCCCTCCCTGTGTTGATCTATAACTTTCCGGCTGCCTCTGGGGGACTTGATCTGAGTTCTGATACCATTCTTGAGCTGGCAAAGCACCCGAATATTGTGGGTGTGAAGCTGACTTGTGGGAATACGGGCAAGCTAGCAAGGGTTGTGGCCGGCAGCAAGGACTCTTCGTTCCGGACTTTTGGTGGAAGTGCTGATTTCACTATCCAGACTCTGGCCGCAGGTGGCCATGGTGTCATCGCGGGCCTGGGAAACCTGGCCCCTCGGGCTTGTGTGGAGCTGATCCGGCTTTGGCACGCTGGGAAGCTGGCAGAGGCTGCTCAGCTCCAAGGCCTTGTTGCTAAGGGAGATTGGGCGGCTATCAAGGGCGGATTTGTGTCGATCAAAGCTGCCTTGCAGAGATATCGCGGCTATGGAGGGCAGCCGCGTCGGCCTTGTGCTCTCCTCGAGGGCAGGCTGCTGGAGTCACAGATGGTTGAGTTTGAGGAGATTATGGAGACGGAGAAGCAACTGGCCACCTAGGATCGTATCCCTCGATAGCTCACCTGCCGCACTTGGGAGGGTTGCAGCTGGTAGAGTGTGGGGATGGATCCGCGCATGTAGGCCTCTTATGCGCATGAACTAACGGAGCATACCTTTCCCATTATGAATCAATCGACGTGTTCTAAGACCTTTTTTATATCCTTCCCTACCGTAATAGGAATGCGACGCCGAAGCAAACGTAAGTCCTAGAGATCGAATCGCGGAGAAAGAAACGGGGGCGGTGTTTTTATGGCCCCCAATGGTCGGATTTCCATCCGAGAAGAGGTGAGTCCTCACCGTACTCTTAATTTCCCGTCGGTCTTATTCTATGATGAAGAGGTACAGTCACTAGCTCTCGTATTTGTGATACGACATTACCAAACAATGTCTGTGATAGGCCGTCGGAATTTGTTCTCCATGGGAACGACGTGTTTGCGAAACGAATCCACTTGCATAAGTCGTTGGATATACTGGACATTGCGGTCCCATTTGTTAAAAGCAATTACCCGGTGACTGTGTAAGGAGGGAAGTGTGAGCAAAGAGAAGGATGTTTTTATTACCCAACATCCATCGAAATATTGGAAAGTAGACAGTCTTGAATGTACCTATATTCTGAAGGCAACGCAGTAAACTAAGTCTAGATCTAAAGAGAGAGATGTCAGATACTACTCCCCGCCCCTGGGTGAACCAATTTGATCTGCCAAGCGCTAAAATAATAAGAAAAACCAGGGTTATCTATGTGTTACATAGCTGGGTAATACAAGTAAATACCTGGACTTCCACACGGTCCTTCTGTTACCTTACTCCTCTTGTCCCCCCCCTTGATGTTCCAACATTACACGCTGACCCTCCTGCTACATGTCCCGTCGTCCACTGTTCTTTAAATAGGTCTCAGAATAGACTGACCCCTAGAAGTAGAGTTCCCAGTTGCGCTCAAGGATCGGCCTCGAGTCGGGCTTGTTGACTCGCAACTCATTAGGTGAAGGCCTCCTGGGCTCATCCTCATCCCCTCCAAAAAGGCTCTCTCTGCCTTCGGGAAGCTCGGTGGGGCATCCAAAAAAGTCACAGACACTGCATCTGGACAACCCCTTTTCCATTGGCTTTGGTCTCGGTTTCTCAGCCTCGTTGTCCCCAAAGAGAGTTTCCTGCTTGGAGAGACGTTCTGACGAGATTGCCTCTTTGGTTGAATCACTGCTTTCACCACCTGCAGTGTGGAAGCTAGCAGCAAGTTCCTCGTCGGAATCATAGTCGAAGAAGCTGGGGCCCGGCATTGCAGCCTCTAGGTCTGTGAAAAAGGGATTCCCTGTGTTCGAAACTAGGCGGCTCGGGGATTTGGGAGTCGGAAAAAAGAGGTCGTATTCCTCATATTCGAAGCTGGGAAACTCCGTGATTTCTGATGGGAATGTGCCCGCCATCTTCTCCTGTGCGCTTGTATTGTCGCCGTAGGCCACATCGACCCTTGTTGTCGAACCACCATTCTCCGTCGGGGGGTCGTAGTCACTAAACACCCAATTCTTAAACTTGGTGAGCAGATTCCAAGACTCCTCGAGTTTTCCGGGGTTGCCTTCTTGGAGCGTGTGTGACCTGACTCTTCCGCTAACATGAGGCAGGCAATCTCCAGCCGGAGGAGGGCAGCTCAGAGTAGACTCTCGGTTCGGAGCAAACGCTTTTAGCCAAAGCAGGAACGGGTTTTGGAGCCAGGTATGGTCGATTCTCGGTTCCTGGGCGTCGGTATAAACACTCCCCGAAATCTCTATTGGCGACTCGATCTTCGGCGGAAGGGAGTTTCCTGACTTGTCTCTGCCGAATATGACCTCGATCTTGCCTTTCTGGATAGGGCGTACAATCCCCCACTCGTCTTCAATGCCCATCATGCTATCCGATGGGGCTTTTCCTGAGAGGTCCAGAGGTTCTCTGAGGCTCATAGTTGGAGCATATTGCGTCTCTAAGCCATCATATCGTCGACTTGGTGAGTAAATTTCAATACCGGGTCGGCAGCTTCTGTTCCCACATGTAGTGGAAGTAAACAAGAGCTCTTGGCGGACGGGGCATATGGTTTCGACAGCCGGCAAGTCTGGGCTCAGTGCAATCAAATCATTAAATCTCTCAGCGTACTGACTGCATTTGCTCACATTGTATTCGAAAAGGCTCTTCTGACAGAACCTACACGCCAAGATTCTCTGATTACACATGGCGCCGAATGAAAGGAGCTTCGCCAAGTATTCGGTATAATCGAAGCTCAGGGTTGTTGCTGGTCAATCCTGTACGCAAATCGGAACCTTTCGAACAGAGGTTGTTCAAGTGCTGAAGATGATGAAGGGATTCATGTGATAAATGTTCTCCAAGGCAAGTAGGATCAAGCAACTCGTCTCGTAGGAGTTGGAGAATCTGCAGCTTGAGTGAACTACTAAATAGATGACGATCACGGAGGACGACCGATTTCCTCTTGGTAGGAAGAAGTTGAAACAGTTTCGGAATGGTTTTAGGTAGGTTTATAAACCATTCGATTTTGTAACAGAGAAAGGGTGTTATGAATCTCTATACATGAAACCATCTTGGAGCTCAGGGCAAATTTCCAACAGTCGACTTAAACTCGAATGGCTCTAGGTTTAGGACAAGTCTTTCTTCGTTCTCCATTCCACTACTCTGTCTCAATAATTGTACCATTTTCAGGATCACGTCGGGGTGATGCTGTTTGTTTGTAACGACTCAAGTACAAAGAGTCACTGAACTAGGCGGATGTTCGCAAACGCTGACAGCGAACGAAACCATTTTGAAATGTCAGTATCCAATCAAATGTTAACAATCAATCAACTAGTAAACTAAGATAGTCTATTGACACGGCCGGATAACCGGCAATCAAATCTCTAGTGAATATACGAGACACCAATGTTAACGCCCAGAAATGCTTTGAACCGAATTTTATGCCACTCAGGTGGCCTTCTTGCCCTTCTTCACCTTCTTTTTCGGCTTCTCCCCAAATGCCTCTTCGTACACCTCACTTGCCGTTTGGCCCGCCTTTCTCTTCTGCTTTGCAGACTTGACGCTCACCTCTAGGGAGCGACCGTCCTTGGTGGCGTTTCTCACTTGCTTCTCTGCGTCTTGCCATGCTGGAGCATCACCTTCGACTTCGTACCTAAAAGGAACCGTTAGCATACTTTGTGATGACCTTTTTAAAGAATTTCGAAATTAACTTACTGGTCAAGCGGTAGCGAATCAATCAGTTCTCTCTGCTTCTGCTTAAGAGTTCTGAGAGCCTCGTCGCCACCCTCCTCCAGCTCATCGTCCAGCGTGACGGCAAGGGGAGCAAACCGCTCATCCACAATCTCGTCATCGTGGACACCACTTGCGTTCTCCCGGCTTATTCCCAGGTCGCCAGTAGAAGGAAGCTCTGCTACAGCGGCGGCCGTGACCAGAGATCCAAAGTGCGCGGTTGCCTTGCGCATGATCTTGATGAACAGGGCGAGGAGCTGTCCGGATGTGATGTTGAGCTCTGCAGCTACGGTGTCGAGATCCTTGCGCTGTAATCCGATGCCCAGGAGGATGCACTTTTGAGGGCCGTTCATGTTCACGCTGGACTGGATCTTGCCCGTAAAGTACAAGGTAGCGATGATTGGCAGGAGGTCAAGCACAACATGATAGTCAAGCATGTTGTTGGCATACGACTCGAGTCTCTTCAGGTCAAACGGACTCATCAGTTGGTCCAGCTCTGCCTTGGTCAGGGGTGCAACCTCTGTAGTGTCAAGCTGTGCGCCACGAACAGCCGCCTCGTCAATTGACAAAGCAGTACCGGCAGAGAACGCCCTGAACTGGAAAGAGAGCAGCGACAAGAATCGCTTCTGGAAGTCTCGCGAGAAAGCACCGGCCCAGCTCTTGTCTGCAGTATTATCGAGGGGGCGAAGCATCACGCAGGTATGTTCACCGGTAAGATCATTCGCCGTTTGGCGGAGATAGACCGGAGAAAATGAGGCGCGCTTCCAGAACTTGAGCAGCTGAGTTGTCATTCCGTAGCTTACACCCATGTAGTCGAGGGCCTCGGGCTTCTTTTGGTCAAGCTTGGCGAAAAGAGGAGGCATCTCGTTCTTATCCTTGACCTTGATTTCATCACTCAGGGAGCCATTTGCAAGTTCGGCATCCGTTGGTCGCCGTGCCTGGTCATCCATAATCTGGTCCTCCTCGGAGAGATTGGCGAAACGTCCCTCATAGTAGTCAGTAAGCAGCTGGAGTGCCTTGGTACCGTAGCCCATGGACACATACTCGGGGTTGGTGGCAATGCGGACAACCCGGGCACCAGACAATGATGCGAAATTCTCATCCTGGAACTGCTGGCTGACAAGCCATGGGATCAGGTCACCGTTGGGGCGCTGGCCCCTGCTCAAGCTGTTGAGAACGCTTTGTCTGCTAATCTTTCCTTCCAGGGATACCTGAATAACACATAGCGGTTCTGGCAAGGCGCCTGTGTTCTCCGACAAAGGTGGGACAAGGACGAACAGCTCATGGGCTGGAGCGTCACTCATCAACTGCAGGTCGTCAGGGCTATTCTTGTAGTGGCTTGCCACGTAGAGCGCCACCATCTGCTGGAGGAACTTTTCTGGAACAGGGTGGAATGAGAACAACGCATCCCGGTTCACTACAAGAAGCTCGCATTTTTCTGGGTCAGGGCACCCGAACTTGGATTTGGACTTGGGCAGAGTAGCATCCAAGCACAACAGCTTGTTGAGCCACTTTTCAACCGCATCACCTTGGGCGTATCTGATGGGCTCGTCTAGTGAAATCTCACGTAGCTTGCGACTGGCCTGGTAATCGCCAGACTTCGCAGCCCTACCTGTGGATCGGTCTGCAAGCTCTGTATCGCCGTTGCTTGCTGATGCGGCAACCGACTGCTCCCTCAGCTGCTTGATCAACTTCAGAGACAACGACCTTCCAGTTCCTTCGTAACCATTGATAGTAGAGGCCATGAATACCAGGTACGGTCCCATCAGCTTGCGAACCAGAGGTAGGGGAATAGCAGCAGCCTCATCAATCACCACCAACTCTGCCTGGCCAAGCACGTGAGCATCCTGTGGTCTGATGTACTGGATCGTCTGTCTGTGCTGCCTGTGAATGTTGACGCGAACAATGGCCTTGTTGAAGTCGGGGTTTGTGCTCTGAATGATGGAGTAGTCGGCGTGATCGGCGTATCCGAGCGCATCGAACCCCTTGAAGACAAACTCGAAGAGTGTCTTCAAATTTTCGGGAGAAGGAGACGTGATAAAAATGTTGCTATAGCCGTATGCCACAGCTGCCGCTACGGCGACACCCAAAGCTGCTGATTTACCGCGACCTCTAGCAGCCGTCAAGGTAACAGTGCTGCGAAGGGTCTTCTCAGCAATGGCCTCAGTGAACGTCATCAAGGCCTTGGCCTGGTCAACAGTTTTGGCGAGAGATATTAAAGACCCAACGGGCTGTCTGTCATGGTTTTCATCCTTGATAGCTTCCAATTCGAGCTGCGCGGGGGTCTTCGAGTCGTCCTTGTCTGGTGGAGGCAGAGCCTTCACGCTCTTACCACCGGAAATGGGAAGCACATTCAGTTCATCATCGATGACCAGACAAGACTCGCAGCTTCCCAATGACAGGAGGAAACGTTCGTTGAACCGAGCGACAACGTCATGGTGGGCCTCGGTGCGATACCTTGAGTGGACATCCATGGACAAGTTGTAGAGCTGCTTCAGACTGTTCATTCCCTTCAGAAGCATGATGACCATGCCGCCGCCCTCAACTGTTTCTATCGTTCGCGCAAGAATGTTCGGCGTAATGGCTTCGAAATCTTGTAGAATACACATGCCGAAGGTTTGACCGAGGATCTTGTCGGTCTCCTTGTAGTATGTATAGCGAATGTTGTGGAGCGAGACGAACAGCTCGAAAGCATCCTCGGAATTGGCTTCTCGGATTCCCTTCTTGATCTCCTTCTTAATCTTAGCTTCGCGCTTCTTGCGATGACTAGCACACAAGACCGTTAGCGACAGCACAACATCCAAAGTCCTCGGGGACTAAAGGCTTCGGGATCGAACCTACCTTGTGAAGCCTAGGAGCTTGTTCTTATATGCCCAGAGAACAGATTTGTTTTGCTTAATGTTCTTCCTCGACATGATGAAGTGCAAGTTCACAATGACATCCTTAGCCTGCTGGTCGCCAACGACCACGAAAAAGCTTCGCTTCTTCTCCTGCACCGCATTGTCGATGAGCGCCCCGATGCGGGAGTCACTATATGCACAATTAGCACGTTCTAGCCCATGTTTCTCAGATAAAAGTTCTCACATTTGTTTGCGCGACATCTTCTCGGCACCGTCGGAGCGTTCAATGATAGAAATGCACTGTCGCAAAAGCTACTCGCCCAGCTAGACTTTTGGTACAAATTTCCCAAAATTTTGGCGATCCAAACATTTTTTGCCGGGCGGTGTAGAGCATGTGGATCTTAGAGGTGGGGTGTCTACCGAGGCTTCACCGAGAGTCTCACCGAAAACCCGTGCGGCCAATGACGGGGATTTCGCCATGAGATGGGCAAAGTTTAGTGCAAGTCCGATCCGAACCCTTAAGCCGCGACCGAGGATGGCGCTTTGGTATGTTAGTGCCTGGGTGCCAATGGAAACTTAGCAGAAAATCCGGAAACAAAAGTAGTACCTGTAATAAATCCCAGATTGTTGATATATGTCTTAAAATACTAGTTTCACCCTATATCGATCCAGCCGAGACTACAGCCCTAGCACGTTCAAGTTTTGTAGTTCAAAGTAATGAGAAGAGAGTATTTGTTTCTAATTTGCTCATAATGCTGTGATTGCTACCTCCGAGTCTATGAAGGTTATAAAAAGCTCGATGCCAAGAAGTAGGCATATCTTCAAATACCATCTCAGAATACCAGACACCCGTGAATCCCCCAATAAATGCTGGCACAAAGGAAACGGTAGCGGAAGGGAAAAGTGAGACATAATGAAAAGGATTTAGAGTATATACATCGGATGTGCAATTCTATGTCCTGTCAAGTTTGCGGCGAAGGTTTCTCGTCCGCTTCATGAGCTTCTTGTACTTCTTCTTCTTCATCTTCAGCTTTCGCTGTCTCTTGACACTGATGGCGTGCATGTCCCGTTGGCCCTGAGCCTCGTCGAACTTGAGCTGGCGTCGAGCAAGTCGCTCGAGGAAACTTCTGGGCTGCGCATCCTGGATGATGCGGGGGCTGTGGGCAACAATCCTGATCTGGCCGTCGGGCTCGGTGGCCTCCTCGATCGTGAACATGGCCTTGTATACGCGGTGATGTTGAGCATCCTCAGCAGGCTCGGCCTCCACGACGGGTGTGGATTCGGCGGCGGACTGTGGTTGCGGCAGAGGAGGGGGACGGAATGGGAGGAAGTCTCCAGACATGGCGTCCACCTCAAGATAGATGCTGGCTTCGCTTCCGTCAGGGTTCTTAAAATCCATGCGGTGCACCCCATCGCCGTGTCCTTCTTGTTGCGTGTTGATAGTCATCTGTGCCATGGGTCCTTCCAACTGATCGATGGTGTTTGACAGTGTAGACATAGTCTCGGAAACGGTGTTCGATTTCGATCGAGAGGCGAAGATGGAAGCAAACTGCTCGTCCGTTACAGCCCGAGGCATAGTCTGGGTGATAGAGATCGGTCGGTGCAGAGAAAAGAAACTCGAAAGTCCCAGAGCTAGACAAAGAGGTTAGCAGATAGATCTCGGAGAAACTAGTAAAATCTTTTCCCTGGTGCAAAATGTGTCTCGATCCAAGATCCCTTTGTATTTACCTTCTCCAGACATGTGATGCGTGTTAGGGACGCTGGGCAGGTTCTTCAAAGTTGGATCACGCTCGGCAGCCTTGCGCTTCCTCTTCTCACCCCCTGCCTTGCCCTGGCCCCGAGAGGAACCCGAGGATGCGGGGACAGACTGGCCCGCCGGTAGATCACTCGCTCCATTATCTGATCTCGAAGGTTTCGACGATGAGAACCTCCGCTGGTGGTTGTGGCTAATGAAGGGAGCCGAAGCGGCGGCTCTGGGGGCTGATGATACGAGGGTTGCGGCCAAACCGCTGGCCTGGGGCGCCGCGGTAACCACGCGCCGCACCGATGAGGGCAACATGACTGTGGGATCGAAACAGCCAGGCCGTTGATCGTAGAGTGACAAGCGTTGGAGGGTTGGTTGTGAAGCAGGCGCAGAGACCTTCGTTTGAGGCCAATGATGCGTTTTGTCACGTCAAATCCGGATATCTGCTGAGGTGAGTCGGGAAAACGTTGTGGTGGATCCCGGCTATGGGTGGCCTAAGGCAGCGATAACGGCGGCAATCTATTCACCTACAGCGCCTCCACCAACCACCAACACCACATGAGAGCGCTGAAACGCCTGTGGCGGGCTGCGGCTTATTAGGTGGGAGCCTCGCCTGACCGCCTTCGAATGACCCCAGATTCAAGTCACGAGCATCTGCTACGTAATTGCTATCTGATGGGGCTCTATCCACATGGGTCGATTTCAGGAGGACAGGCGATTATCTGAGCCAAGCAAGTGGGTGGAATAAAACATGGCACATCGAGATAGTTCAGCATTGAATTTCAACACAATATCACAATACATCACCTAGTACTGAATACAATATCAAGCTAAATAGTATATAATAATTTATTATTCTCTTATTATTATATTTCATAAAAATGAGGTCCCTGCCTTACGCGGAAAGAGCTTTGGTATGCCATGCTTTATTCCACCCACGCCAAGGTAGATAGTATCAAACGAGAGGGGAGCCAGTGTTTATGGCGCTTCCCGAGTCCACTCTTGCTTCCATGCGCAGCTCAGGCCTGGCCCTCATGGCTCATCACGTCATGGTTACATTGGCCGCCTTGGAGTAAGTTTCATCGCAGTGGTCCATTTAGTGTAGTCTATCATCTATTATTGATTCTTTAATCATGGCCCAAACGTACAGACAACAATGATGCCCCAGTTCCCTCGAATGTTCGCTTGCAACGAAGACTCATGACAGTCGATATCGCATCAAACCAAGCATCGCAATTAAGATGCGTAAAACACGGCAGCAACACGGATGATCTACCTTCTACTCCACGCTGTTCACCCAGCTGAGGTAACTGTTCCAGCCGATGGAAATGACATTGGCGAACAAGACACGGTGCTGCAGGGGCATGAATGTGAAGTTGATCATCTGAACGAAGGGCCAGACCAGCCAGTTCGTCTTCAGCGCCGTCCACCAGGTCTTCTCCAACCGCTCCTTGGCGCTTACGCCTTCCATGGTTGCCATGCTGCTCAGGAAGACACCGATCATGACGGGAGCAAAGGCGCCCTGGTCACATCCAACGCGTGCGAGAGTCTCGAGGCGTGGTCGTCCAGCGATGTTCACTCTGCGGGCAAGGAAATTGATCCATGTGGTCACGACAGGGCCAAAGACGACTTGAACGAAAGGCACACACATTAGAACCAGGGTTCCCTCTATATCTGATCAAAGTTGGAAATGTGGTGAAACTTACCGCCACCGTAAAGGGCCATGCGGCCGGTACGGGCAAGGTCATGCTTCTTCAGACCGCGCTGCTCAACAGCCTGCTGGGCAGTGATGTCTCCAGTGGCGAACAGAACTGCGGTCGTCACGCTCTGTGTGAGAAGTGGCTTAGCTGCCAACTTCGCATTATACCTTTGCGATGAAAATGAGTTATCTTGCCATGTCGAGGGTGGTGATGATGCTGCCAGTTTGGGTGCTTACCAGCGGAGGAATGACGACATGATTCTCCTTGCAATGGCAATTGGATCCTTTGTGGATTATGATGGAATGAGCAGTAGCCAAACCGAGAGGGCTAGATTGTCCAGACGGTTGGCCCGTGTCAGGTAGGTAAATGCAGCGAAATTTGACGTTTATCTAAAACTGCGAGACTGATAGATAGTACTAGTTCCCTTGTTGGAGTCAGTCCAGGTGGGACCAAGAGAAAGGGAGAGTGTGAAAGAATGCGACTACTGTCAAGGCGAAAGGGAAAGAGATTATCTATGTGTGGGACTAGATCAAGGAAGAAGGAGGGAGAAAAGAAAAATTGAAAAATTAGGGTCGAAGATCTTTGAGCTGGCGGGCAGCCAATACTCGGGACTTTTCTTTTTTCTTCTTCTGTATTTCCCGGAGATGTACGTCAATGAAACATCGGGAGGGAGAGACTGTCCGGGGATTCAAGGCCTGTGCTGCGTGGGGGCTGGTCAACCACAGCTGTATACCGGCGCCGGCTGCCTGTCAACCAGCCCCTCCAACGACGCATTAGCAGCAGTTATTGACTGCAACTGATTCAAAAGGCAGTAGACAAGGAATTCCCGTATCAAGTAATTCCGCAATCCCACTATTAAACCCCCACTAAGCCATCACGACACAGAACATAACTATCAATCTGAGTAGGTACTTGGGCACAATTGTAGACAACCTGCAATGTCCCAGGAACTGAACACCACGGGAAGCCCACCAAGATTCAGTGAATTTTGGGTTGGTCAGATGACCAGAAAAGCACAACGCCAGGGCCGGGGTGGACGGCCAGGTAAATCGGTGGATCGCGCATCGTGCCGTGCATTGTCTATGCTTCAAGCTTCACCGCGAAATACTTTGCATTAGATACTGCCTCACGCCAACCGGTGCCCTGGTTCGAGAGCCAGATGTACGTCGTACTAGAAACGCGAGCCTCAGAGCGCTAGTTTGGCGTCCGAATACCAGCGAAATTACCGTAACTATTTCCTCTTCCAACGGCCAACCAGCAGCCTGCAACTTGCACCTGGACCCGGGACCTGCGCTTGCAACTCTGCTCTCTTAGCGCGCGCCCGCCAACCAGGTGCCAGCTTCATTGGCTGAAGCTTGCGAGCTTATCGGTCGCGGAGGATCCCAATAATTAATAGGGGTCCCTTATTCAGCATGGCACATCATCCAGTACCTGCGACTGTCGGTCAATGTAACATGGTTGTACAGGGTGTTGCGACATCATATCATCCCAGGGATTGAGCTAGCAATAGCAGGAGGTGTACCATGTAGATGCCTAATCCTCCCCATTCATCTTCCCTCCCTCGCCCATTCAGAGTCGAGATATCACCAGATCGGCCCAGCCCAGCCCAGCCCAGTCCCTCTGTCCTGTTCATTGCCCACCTCAGCTAGAAGCCGCCCGCCATGGCTGACGACGAACGTACGTTCCATATACATGACACAGCAGTGGCCCATCCGCTGCGCTGGGCCCTCATCTTATCGTACCTGCCGGCGTTCGCTCTTCTCATTGCCCACGGCGCCCTTTCCAACCGCGTCGTGCCCGCCATTGGCCTGCTCCCATTGAGCTTCTCTGTCGCATCCGCCGTCTTCACATACCGGATCCGCTCGAGCAAGCAGCAAGATGAGGAGGCCGACCACGACGAGGATGCCGCCACCACTCCCAGGGAACGATTCCGCATCGCCATCACGCACCCCCTCACCATCTTCGCCCTGGACATCCTCCTCGCCGCTTCCCTCATGATCGTCCTCGTCTTCACATGGACCTCGCACACGCGGAGCGCGTCGCTGAGCATGCTCGCAGCCTACGCAACGATACCCCTACTCATTGGCTTGTTCGTCCTGACGCAACCCCACTATCCCGATCCCGAGATGCAAGTAACTGCTTACTGACCCTGTCCATGAAACAGCTTCACCCACCTCTACCTCGCCTCCGTAGCGCTCTACGAGGGCTTCGCCATCCACGGCCTCGTCCAATGGACCGCCTGGCGCGCCGTGCCGCCCGACTGCCCCAACTGCAACGTGCGCCTCCGCCCTGACCTCCCCGCGCTACCCTGGCTGAAGTACTTCCAGCGGCGTCGGTCTCCCGATTATGCCCCCGTGCTCGCCAACGACGAGGAGCCCTACCGCGACGAGGTCGAGAGCGCCGACGGCGTCGCCCAGCCCGAGGCGGTCGACGTCCGGAAGAAAGACAAGAAGGGCAAGGCTGCGACCCCCGAGCCGTCGGGCGAGTCGACGCCCTGGGACGCTTGAGGGAGAAGCACCACGGGCTTCGCGTCACAGTCTTTGATGCGACATGAGGTCATCTAACGCGGAGAGACTACTCCAACGGTGAATATTTGGAGATCGATGGTTTAAGTTTTGCGTGTGCTTTATATTTATTTGCCAGTTATCTGCATTTTCCCCGCTTGATTACAATTCCCCGCCATGATTTCATGAACATTCAAGTTCAGCATTATACCCAATTCCTCGCAATGCATTTCATGTTTGGTTGTCTGTTTCTTCGGCCGTGATTAGAAAGCCTGCTTTCTGTTTGTTGGTCATATCGTCATGTCCCACCCATTGGATAAGACTCGGTGTTCTACATATCATCATCAAGAAAATACCCAGCTTTACACTTCGGTCTCGATCCCAGCCTGCCCGGTTGTGCGGTCAAAGGCTCCGGATACCTTCTTCTCGAGACCCTCGACTTTGTTCTTCACCCACTTGGCGGTCCGAGGAATCTGTGATCATCTGTTAGTCCATGTCCGATGGCTGAGTGTGTGTGTGTTTTGAATCGTAAGCAATTAAGCCTTACCTTCCACTGCATTAATCCCCGGTGCCGCCTATGCAAAGCCTTCTCGCGGCGCTTGTAGTCCCTGATCTGATCGATTGGGCCTTGCTTGTCGTTGGCGCTTCCGTCAGGGATGTCTCTCTCCCCATCAGAACTGTCACTGTCGCTAGACTGCTCCGCGTCGACGATCCCGATCTTCCTCTCGATCTTGTCGAGATCCTGGTTCTCCTGTGCCGTATTTATGACCTCGACGATATCGCGGAGGTTCTGGTCCTTGTTTGCCCATGCGGAGTGAGCCATACCCTGTGCGTATAGATGTCAGTCGTAGATCTAAAAATTGAATTCGTGCGCAGGGGGTTTCCTCCAACTCACCAGCCCAGCCCAATACGTAAGTTTCACTCTCAAAGTTCCGATTTTCTCGCCTGGTGCTTCTAGACAATTGGAACATGCCCGCTTAAAATCACCCTTCCATACAGGAAGCTCCAGCTCCAGCTCCTCCTCGTCCGGCACATCCTTGAGCCACAAGACACTAAAGGCGACGACGTCGTCGCCAAAGACTCGACTGTGCTTGAAGGCAATCGACATGCAGGTGCTATAGCGCTTCTGCACCGCCAAGAGAACACTCTCCTCCTCGGACTTGGGGTGCCAGCTGTTCTCGTTCTTGCTCGCGTACATCTTCCCGGAGCTGAGGTTGCTCCTGAGCTTCAGCTTGGAGCCGTAGAGCTCGCCGGGCAGATCATGGCCTGTGATGAGCGGCTTGACCTCGACGGTGCCAAAGTCCCAGCCCAGGAGGTTCCGGGGCGCCTGCAGCTGCACGCTCCGCCAGACCATGGAGAGCCTGACCTTGCCGTGGCCGATGCCGCCGGCGAGCGGCCAGGTGCCCATGACCTGCGACCTCTCCTTGAAGATCTCGTACAGAGGTAGATGCACCATGCCCAGGAGGGGGTCGTCTTCGTCCATGCGGGAGTCCCGGACAGATACGAAGACTTCGGCGTCGTGCCAGTCGCGGATGAACCTCTCGCAGCCGGCGTTGTAAAATGGCTTCGAGTTCTGGGGCTTCGTCCTCGTCCTGTACACCTTGTGATGGTTGATCAGGATCGTGCAATACGCGCTTGGCAGGCCCTCGTGGCCTTGCTCCCTCTCGTCGTCCGACTCGAGGTGCTTATCCGACGAGACCTTGCTCAGCTTCTCGACCTCCAGACCGGTAATGTTATGGATCTGCAAGCTGAAGATGCCGCTCGGGTAGCCGTCGGGAGGAGGCGCCGATATGATCATGGCATCCTGCTGGGCCTTGAGCTCCTGCTTCTTCTGCTGCTTGAGCTCGTCCTCGTTCCTTCCCGTCTTCCGCTCCTTGAAGATGGCCTCGCGGAGCTTCCGCTCGGCGTTCTCGTCGACCTTGGCCCTGAGCTGCTCCATGGATCGCACGCTCGGGTCGGCGGTCTGCTTGTCGAACTGGCACTGCTGGATCCTGGCCTTGGGGAAGTACCCGACGCTCCACTCGAGCTTTCCCGGCATCTCATCGCCGGGCTTGAGCGCCTTGAACCCATCGGTGCGGTCCCACATCTTCCCGTATGATTCCTTATTCGACATGATCTCCGCGAGGCTCACCTCGATGCGGCCAAGGTCGTCGTCCGCGCTGAACCGGTCCGAGTCCCACAGCTGCACCCTCAGCCTCTCCTCTACGTTGAGTTCTGCCAGCGTGACCAGCATGAAGAACGTTTCCTCCCAACAGGGCTGCATCTCAGAGAGCATGATCCGCGTGCTGGACACGACCTTGCCAAACTTCGCCCAGCCCACGGATACGTATGGATCAGAGCTGGCATCCTTGACGAGAGGGATGGCTGAGTCGCCCATCTTGAAATCGTAGCCTCGTTTGATATGGATCATCAGAACTCCGCGACCGTGCGTGTCCTTCTTGAAATCTTCACCCGAGAGCATATCCTTGAGATCAAGCGTTAAACTCTTCGGGGCAACGTACTGGGCCATGGCTGCGTCCACCGCCGACTGGACGAATTTGCTGATCAGAGGCACGTCCATGATGTTCAAACCATGCTTGCTAAGGGGCACACAGCTGAGGTTAACTTTGGGCTGGCCGAGGAAGGTGATTGTGCAGAGCTCGAAAAAGGGGGGGTCGGGTGTCAACTGCAGCCGCAGTCTCATGGTGCCCACGATACCGTGAAGGTCAACCCACACGGGAATCTTGATGTTCCCTGGCAGGAAGAAGGCAAGGTAAATGTGCATGTCTTTGGACTTTGCCTTGAAGCTCTTGGACTGGCTACGAGTCCGGTAAGCAAAGGCGATCTCTAAATTGATGAACTCCCCTTCCTCCGCGAGCAGGCCGGGCGAGATCAGGTCCTCATCTGCCTCATCTTGGTTGGCATTTTGGTCATTTTGTTCCTCGGTCTTTTCAGCCTTGACGACGCTGCTCCCTTTGCTGGACTTATCGGAGCCATTGTCCGAGGTGACTTTGCCGTCCGCCGTGACAGATTCGGTGGCAGCACCCGCCGGGAGCCATCGAACGCCGAGAATTCGTACAGCCTCGCTTCCCTGCCCAATATCGTCCACGCTCACCATGCGAACCAATTTGGGCAAGGACGCCTGCATGACATCCTCCAAGGTGTCTCCCAGACTAGCAAACAGGTCTGGATTAACAAGGGGCCACATGGCTCCGAGGAGCGAGTTGAGCCAGACCGTCGTCTCCTTCTCATACTTTGTGGCCGCCTGAACGATCTGCTGCCGCTGGGCCTCCCAAACTTCGTCTTCGAACACCGCATCGACTCTCCTCCCTACCCAATCCTTGACGCCACTCACAAGAGCCCAGAGACATCCTACCGCTCCCGTGGCAACACCCAGCAGAACTGCCATGTCTGTCAACGTGAGCCTCCGGTCAACCCTCGGAAGCTGCCTCTCCAGAACAAATGCCCCAAAAAAGACGAGGGCGGCGCCGGCCAACCCCATTGCGATACCCTTCTGGTGAATGAGGGACAGTTCCTGGCGCAGAACGTCGAATCTCGGGGGCGGGAACCGATTCGCCAAGATGTCATGGCCCATCTGGATATGCTCCTGCTCCAGGCGCAGCTTCTCATCCGAGTTCCTGGGAGACAGCTTGTTGGCGATCCTGTGTAAGAGGCCCGGGGTCGCGCCCTCCACGTCGGCCTCCTGGAGTGCATCCTCGGTGAAGTCGTGGATGGTGATGGGGAGGTGCGTCACGGGGTCGGTCACCAGACGCTCCGCCCTCTCCTTGTCCCAGACCTTGCTGTTCTTCCGCCGCAGCCTGGCGTCAGTCGCTGCAGGGTCCACCTCGGAGGTGTCCTTCAACATCTCGGCTCCGTCTCCCTGGTGCTCTGACTGCTTCTGGCCCGGCTCCTCTGAGGTGCTGCCGGCCTGATCACCACCCGGCGCAGCGCCAGAGCTCGCGGTTGCTGACGCATTGGGGGCAGTCTCGGGCTGGTCAGATGTCTTGCTGACATCTACTGTGCTGTTAAGGGCTTCCTGCTGCCGGGCGGCCTTCTCCTCGCGGTACCTGGCTATGGTGGGTATTGGATTCCGGGCACTATAAGGCGCCTGGTAGCGTCGACGCTCATCGGCGTCGTCTATGCCGGACATTTTGCGCTATCAAGCAGGTAGTCTAGTTTTGGTTCTGTGATACAGGACTCCAGATGTAGGGATGGGAAACACACCCGCGGGGAGGGGTAGAGGGGCCAATGGCAATGCAAACATGCGCTTATTGAGAGATGGAGAACATTAAGGGAAGAGTCAGTTGCAGGTCGTCCTGACGTCGTATGGGAATAATAAGTTCAGGATATTTTGGCCAAGAAATTTTGATGGAGAGCCGCGTAAGAGGCGGGTGAAACGGCAGCAAGGATTAACACCAGGCAGAGCTAGTAAATTGGCTTGATGCGAGGCAGGTATGGAATCTAGTTGGCCTGGATTTTTATGCTCATTGGCTAATTGAGACGGACTGAAAGCATAAATCCTTCGGCAGCCTCGCTGGACGGAAAGAAGAGCTCCTCTGTTCTGCACCTGCTCTGGTGGACGAGATGGCCAAGAGGCGGCGCGACAGAGGGTTACGTCATTAGCTCCAAGCCGTATATATCCGCTGGTGGTTCTGTTGGTGGTGGCTGTTGGGGCAGATGGGGATAGGGCAGCCGGGATCTGGGGTCGTTGTCCACTGCAACCTCACTGAATTCTCTGGTACGCTTGCTGTGCGATGCCTTGACAGTGCCTCGCCACGTGGAGCAGTTGATGACGGGCTCTTCCTTGTTTCGAGTGTCACAGACCTCTAGTTGATCCCCCTCTTCACAGAAACACATAATGCTGGTGTCATTGTACAGAAACTTCCAGCGTCGGATCTCGATGATCGGCAATGGGCGGGACGAATTGACTATACGCCAAGACAACTGACATATCCTTGCTTGATTCATGTCAATTCATCAACACATCCAACCCCAGATTGTACGGACAATACGCAATATTAAAGTTGGTCGCTTCCGAATGACTGTGGTTACTCGTTTTTGTCAAAGATGCCAATTTAATTAACTCTTCATCTGTCATGTCGGAGCCGAACAGTCCCTTGCTTACATAGTAACTCTAAGGAGCCTCAGTAGCTGGCCTTTGTCATGGGTTAATCCGGATACTATACGGACCACCAATCGCGTGTTTGCATGGAAGCAGCTCACAACCAGATAACCCGAGGTCCTCTTCTATATCAAATTCTCCGGGGTCACCAAATTCGGCCATGTCCAGCTGCTGCTAGCTTCCAGTTATTAGCTCCCTGTGATGATCTACGTGGTGGCGCCACGTCAAATTAAACTCTCGTTGTCGTCTGCCCTAATCCAAACCTCCCTACCCTAGATTGCATTGCGTTCGTTAAAGTACTCCTTCCCATTCCATTGATCCATGAAATCCATGCAGGCCGGTTCCAATTGTTCCGTTACAATTTAGAATTTTTCCACTCACATGCAGTTGATGGTACGCGGCGCCGTTGGGCCCTTGTTGATATGCGAGTGCATGCATGCCTATTATTACTTGCCGAGCTAGGTGACCCTGGAGGGGTTCGCATTCGACTAAGCAATCAACCAAGCGTCAAAACGGTGCCATCATCTCCGAATAGACCAATACATGGGCCACGATCGTTATCACAGAGAGGAATAACCAACTCATCCATCACACTAAGACCACGAGGGCTCATGAGGTATGGCCTAGCGCAAAGTCGTACGAGCCTGATTGCTGCGGTGATGCAGCTTGTGCTGGGTGGTGCTGTGTGACGAAGCTGTGAAAGCCGGTCCTTGGCACATCCAATAACGGGGCGTCACATCCGGCGACGAATCGAACCCACGTTGTAAGCGTCGTCGAGAAGCGGTGATGAAGACAGAGCGGACTTGGACCCTCAAAGCGCCTGATGGCGCCAGTAATGCGGCGTATGTATGTCAACGGCCGGCCGTGCGCTCACGTTGCTGCCCCTCCTCCTGACCTCTGCATCCTGAACTATCGATGCCAAGTGCGGGAGAGAAGAAGTCGTAGCGGCCTCTTGGGGCATCTGCTTCCTTTTCACTCGACTCTTGTTGGCCCAGGCCTGGCTGTAAGCGCCGGACCCCTGGAGCGTCGACTTGGGGAGGGGTGCCAGAAGGGGCCAGTGGCAGTTGGTGTGGCCACTAACCGTCCAGCCCGCAGCGACTCGGTGGGGCCCTGCGCTGTTCCAAATATACCCTGGCCACTCAGCGGCCTGATCCGGGGGGCTACAGGGGCTACAGGGCCTGCTTGGCCTGCCACCAGCCTTTTCCAATGCTGCATCGGCGCTTAAGTCTCCCCTGCGACATCCCGCCGTAACCTATCGACACCTCCCCAGCACACATGCGCATCATGGCATTGAGAGCCGGTTCCCAGCAGAGTGGCCCGGCTTGTGTTCCATTATCTTTCGACTCTTTCCCTTTCAATCTTTGGCTCAAGCCACCCTGAAATCAACCCCCCCAAACACGAGGCAAATCCTGGCCACCTACAACCAACAACCTCAACTTACATATCCTCACGCCTACCCACAGCAACATCTCCAACAACCAACAACCACTTCCAATTTGGATTCTGCTACTACCATCAGGGCGCTTCGGCCCATTGTTTCCTACTGTGACCCAAGTCAAGCAAGCATTTGGTAGATCCGACGTTCTGGATCTCCCGCCTAACGTTAATCTCATTCCCATCACCCAACCCACGACTGGAACCAACATCTCGCTTGCACCACGCAAGATTCCTTGTCTATTTCTGTCCAGCCCTCATTTTCACTAGACATTTACATCTTATTGCCATTTGGTTGCTATTTTCTCGGTTATCTTCTACGTCAAACTCTGCAAAAGACTCGCTTCTCAATTACACTGGACCGCTAATTCATTGCCGTTACGGACCACCTATCCCGCTCCTCTTGCCTTCGTTCTCGATCCTCAGGACGATAAAGCTACTCTAATATTGACAAGAGTGGGAAAGGGACATATCATTCCCTATAAACTCCCCTAATCTCGCCGGCGCGGCTCCTATTTTAATAGCTCGCTATCAACCTTTGCTCGAGAAGAGTGACTATATCCGGCCACCAACGTATCCGAGGGAATCTGGAATTTGGGCATACAGCCATATTTAAAACGATCCAAATAAATCAGTGACCGTGGACCCCTCAACGCTCGGAGGTTCTTGGGATAGGGAAAGCCTTCATAGAAGGCAGGGCACCGCGATGGGCGGTCAGGGAGGATTAGGTGGGCTGCTATTGAAGCAGCTCAGACCGGCGAAGTTGCTGTTCCATTTCCTCTTTTGGGGATTTCACTTTGGCATCTTCGCACTTGGATGGTGAGTAAACCTTTCGATGATGGAGCTTCCTTGTCTTGCCCTAATGTTAGGGTGTCCTCCGGTGATATTTCAAAAGCTGACGTTTGCCTTCTTGCAGGTGGATGCAATATACCAACGAGAAGCTGGCTCCTCTCAACCTGCTACAATATTCAGTATGGATATCACGAGGCGCCGGTCTAGTTCTCAGTGTCGATTGTACCCTTATCCTCATCCCGGTGTGCCGCACCATCGTGCGATTCTTCCGCCCCAAGCTGCGGTTCCTACCCCTGGACGAGAATATTTGGTTTCATCGGCAGGTAGCATACGCGACTCTCGTTTTCACCATCATCCATACTGCTGGACACTACGTCAACTTCTATAATGTTGAGCTCACCCAAGTTCGAGCCGAAGCTGCCGTCCAAATCCACTATGCTCAGGCTGGAGGCATCACGGGCCATGTCATGCTCTTCTGTATGCTACTCATGTACACAACAGCCCACTACCGCATCCGCCAGCAGTCATTTGAGACCTTCTGGTACACCCACCATCTCTTCGTCCCTTTTCTCCTGGCTCTCTACACCCATACTACAGGTTGCTTCGTCCGTGATTCTGTCGAGCCTATTTCGCCTTTCGCAGGAAAGGAGTACTGGCAACACTGCATCGGATATCTAGGTTGGAGATGGGAGCTTGTTGCCGGTGGTTTCTACTTTGCCGAGCGCATATGGCGTGAAGTGCGATCTCGCCGCGAGACCAAGATTACCCGCGTTGTCCGTCACCCTTACGATGTCGTCGAAATCCAGTTCTCCAAGCCTTCCTTCAAGTACCGCGCTGGCCAGTGGCTCTTTCTCCAGGTACCTTCCATTTCCAAGCACCAGTGGCACCCCTTCACGATCACCTCGTGCCCTTACGATCCCTACGTCTCGATCCACGTACGCCAGGTTGGCGACTTCACCCGTGAGCTTGGTGACGCTCTTGGTGCGGGATCTGCCCAGGCCAAGATGTATGATGACGTGGACCCCTCGGGTATGTACGAAATCGCCCTGGTGAATGGACAGGAAATGCCCTCAATCCGCGTCGATGGGCCATTCGGTGCCCCCGCCGAGGATGTGTTCCAGAACGAAATCGCTGTCCTCATCGGCACCGGCATTGGCGTCACACCCTGGGCGTCTATCCTCAAGAACATCTGGCACCAGCGCAACTCCCCCAATGCCCCTACCCGCCTCCGCCGTGTGGAGTTCATCTGGGTCTGCCGTGACACGGGCTCCTTCGAGTGGTTCCAGAACCTCCTCGCCTCCCTCGAGGAGCAGTCCAACGTCGCAGCCCGCGCCGAGGGCGCAAACGGAGTCGAGTTCCTCAAGATCCACACCTACCTCACCCAGAAGCTCGACATCGACACGGCCCAGAACATCATGCTCAACAGTGTCGGCGCGGACGCGGACCCCCTCACCGAGCTCAAGTCCCGCACAAACTTTGGTCGTCCCAACTTCAAGCAGATCTTCACCAACATGCGAGAAGGTATCGAGAACAAGACGTACATGAATGGCCTTCAGGGCCAGACGAACACCACCGTCGGTGTCTATTTTTGCGGTCCTTCCGTTGCAGGTAAGCAACACCTCCCCTTTCCCTTCCCTCTGCTTCTACTGCATGATAACTGACTGGATTCCTTTTTTTTTCAGCGCGAGATATCAAGTCTGCATGCAAAGCCGCCCAGTCAAGTCGAGTACACTTCCCATTCTGGAAAGAGCATTTCTAAGCGCCCGTATCTTCCTTTCCGATGCCTTTTGTTTTTTACTGTTGTTTCGATCGAATCTGTAAATATCGATATCCCTATGCATACCCTGTCATATACATAAAAACTGTCATCCTATATTAGCGTTGCAACGAGTTATGGAATCTTTAATTAATTACGATTTTTTTCCTTGTTAGAGAGAGTTGTCAAATGTATCATCCGCTGCTGGACGGGGGACGTTCTGCATTTGAAGTCTCTGCTAGTATAGTCACTGAATGAGATTGGAGTTAATATGACAATCACTCTCTCGCGGGTAGTCGTGGGTAGGCCATGTTGAATCTCGCTCGGGTATGCTGTAGATTACTAGAACTATATGCTGAAACATTGCTGTAATTCCTCATGACTATGCAGACGCGCCTGTTATCCGTATATACTTTTTGTGCTCCCAGCTGAAAAGACCGATGAAGAGACAACGCCCTCTATGTATCAAGGCCATTGTCGCCTGCAACAAAAATAGAAATTCAAAAAATGGCAAATCGCTCCTGACCGTTTTTTTCCGAGCCACCAGATTATGAACAGTAAAAAAAGCCAAACAACATGATAATCATAGTCTTCGTCACAACTCTATGACTTCGTTTCCTGGAAAGTAAACATCATAGTACACATTAAAAAGAACGAAATTCTCGACACATTCCTCGTTATACATGCTCACCGACAAGCAATTGTATATTTTGAGTAAATAAAGAGAACAAAAGGCTGCAATTTTAGCTCCAGGGCTGTCTTGAATCGGTAGCGATCGGATTTGGAATTAACATCTTCCTCGTTTTCTTTGTCCAAGAAGTTATTGTTTTCACCGTCGCTGTTGCTGGTTCTTAATTTTCAGTTTGTTCACATTTTCTTCCGTGAGTGCCTCGCCGGCCGGAAGCCCCTGGAAGGAGTTGCTGCGAAGACTTGACGGTCCACCAGCAACTCCCATCAGCTTCGTTTCTTGGAGTTTGCTCGACCATTCATTCTCTCCTTCTTGCCTCCTTGCCGGAGGGCCGAAATCCCCTGCAATAGGGGAGTCGAATGGTGACTGCTCTTGCTGATGGCTGCCGCTTATTGTTAGGGGGCGAGGGGTAACAGGGCTGTTATTACTGCTTTCGGGAATAAAGGGTTCGCTACCATTATCCTCAACCCCAATGTGAGGTATGTCGGCATTCTCGCAAGTTTCGTTCAGTTCTGAGCAGTCAGAAGCTGACGGAGCAGGCGAGGGCCGCGGTTTTCGTTTGTTGAGGCACCACCTTGTCAGCATCTTTTCGAGAATGGACATTGTTACTGGCTTGGCCAGATAGTCATCCATTCCTGCCTTCTTGCACTTTTCGCGGTCGCCTTGGATAGCTGATGCCGTCATGGCAACGATAGGAACATCTTGAACCAGATGCTTGTATGGAAGATGATGTCGTAATAGATGGGTACATTTATACCCGTCGATAACAGGCATCTGCACATCCATCAAGATCATGTCCGGTTTCGGTTTCAAGCCCTTTGAAACGGCCAACAGATAATCCAGGGCTTCCCTCCCATTCCAGGCTGCAGTTACTTTGAACCCCAATTTGTTAATCGTCTTGGTAGCAATCTTCTGGTTCACGGGGCTGTGTATAACTGTTAGTTGAAGCCACTAAAAGTGTTGGATATTGTAAGCACTCACTTGTCCTCCACCACCAGGATATGCAATTTCCCACGTTCAGCCCGGGAAATTTCTTGACCAGAAATGGGGGAAGTCCGTAATGACGGGCGCCTGACAATCCCATCAGATGCAGAAGTGAGATTCTCATGCTCAGAACTATTGCAGGATAGGCTCAGTTCGGACTGTAGACGATCTGGAATAGCTCCTGCCTGTGCCAACTCTGAGGTTTCTCGACCCTGGGGTTTGCTAAATGTAATCCAAAATGTCACTGTGGTCCCGCTCCCAACCCGCGAGTCAAGGGTGATGCGTCCATGCATGAGGTCGACGAGGTTCTTGGATATTGTAAGACCAAGTCCGGTTCCACCAAAACGCCGTGCGGTTGAAGCATCCCCTTGACTAAAGGGTTGGAAGAGTTTCTTTAGGACATCTTCTTGGATGCCAATTCCCGTATCCTCCACAACAAACTTGATCTCGATGGAATCTGCCGCTTCCTTTTCTTTTGAGACTGAGAATCGAACATACCCTTGATTGGTGAATTTTATGCTATTAGTCAGAAGATTGGTGATGATTTGTCGAACCCGTCCAGGGTCACCAATCACGACCATGTCTTCCTTGATATCACCTCCGATGTCTGATTGAAAGTCCAGGCTTTTACCTTTCACAGCGAACTGAAGCATCCGCACGACTTCATTGACAATGACCGATAGCGAAAACTGTACTTCTTCGATATCGAGTCGGCCGGATTCGACTTTGGAAAAATCGAGGATGTCGTTGATGACGGTTAAGAGTGAGGTCGCTGAGCTATGAATGTTTTCGACATAGTCTCGCTGCTCCTCGTCCAATTCCATGCTAGCCAAAAGTTCTGCCATGCCGAGAACGCCAGTGATGGGAGTGCGGATTTCGTGAGACATGTTGGCAAGAAACTGGCTTTTCAGCCTTGTTGCCTCTTTCGCTGCAGCTTCGTTGGCTACTGCTTTTCGTTTCTGCTTTAGTGTCTCCTTCGTTTCGATTTTCTGGTCTCTCAGTTCGGTCACATCCATTATAACACCGATGACACCCTCGATGACTGTTTCGGCTGTTGGTTTCCCCTCGGGAGACTCTTTGCAATACATCGGCAGAAACCTGGTGCGGTACCAGCGATTATCTTTGGTGTGTTAGTCATGATGAGTCGCTGCTGCGAGATAGCATGGAGACTTACTGAAAGAATGCTCGTCAACCCCAACCCCATCGGTTGCTTGACCATTCAAAACCGCCTCGATTGGTTGCAAGAAGTCGGGCTTCTCGCCCTCAGCCAGTTGTTCGGTGAGGCGATTGAAAACTGTATATACATTCTCGCCAATGAACCATTCGCTATTCTTATAGTTTTGGTTGTCATTGTCCCAAATCAGGGCCCCTTCCAGCATCGTTACTCGGCGTTTCAGGTCAGCTGTGAAGATGGTAACGCGGGAGTGTGCGATAACACTGAGAAGCTGTTTTCGAGTGCGCTCCGCGTCCATCTTCGATTGAATGCCCTCATGAGCATCAGTACAGGTACCTGCAAACCGAGTTAGGATCGAAATGAAAATGGAATTCGAGGCACCTACCGAACCACTTCTCAATCTTGCCAGTTTCTTTATTCCGCATAGCGCTTGCGCGGGCCAGAAACCATCTCCATTTGCCTTCCTTGCTCCGGCATCGCCATTCTGTCACGAATGGTTCACCAGTTGCGACAGACTTTTCCCATCGTGGCACGCTCGCCTGTAGGTCGTCAGGGTGAAATGGTAGCATCCAGCCTTCCTCCATACACTGCTCATCCGTCAGGCCAGTATAGGTGTACCACCGGGAATTGAAGAATTCGGGGTGGCCATCCGGGGTTGTCGTCCATACTAGCTGGGGCATTGTATCACAGATGATCCTGAATCGCTCTTCGTTGCTCTCTTTGATCTCTGTGATTTCTTTTGTCACGGAAGTGCAGTCGCGGCCAGAGACAACACCGGCAAGAAATTCGCCGGTGGCCTCGTCTCGGATGGCTTCACCAGTCACTTCAAAGACGACCTTTTCATTGTTTTCGTCGTACAAACCAATCCTCGTCGGGCCACACGGGGCTTGTGTCTCGAGAAGAGTGGTGATAGGGTATTGACTTGGGTCCAGTCTTTCCGTGAAATGTTCATCCCATAACTCCCAGTTGTTCAAGACATCAGTACCGCTTACTGACGCATCCAAGTTAATGTCCCTGCGGAAGTATCGGCGGGCAGCCTTATTTGGAAAGGTAACACTCCCATCTTTCCACATGGCTAGGATGGGAATTTGCGTTTTGTCCAATAGGGCGTCTTTTAGGCGTATCATCTTTTGGAGTACCGATGGAGTGGCTGATTGGGTAGCAACAGAAGGGGGACCCATCGGCGGGAACGGGCTGGATGACATAACGACGGCGGATGGGCTGTAGAATGAGGGCGAGCTGGAATTCCGGCTCGAAGCGAGGGAGGGAGGGTTTGAGTGAGCAATGGATGGGGTGCTGATTGTCTTCCTCTCTGCAGCTTCTAAGATGCTGGACCTTGCAATCGACTTTTTTGTAGTGACGAGAGAAGATGAAGAAGATTCCGAATTAGTGAAGGTGAGACTAAAGTAAGTCTGTCTGTCCTCGATTTCCCATATGGAGATGATCATTTTCGCGAAAACCTGTTGTCCCGGTGGGTTTTTTCCTTTGATGTGTACATCGTGGGCTGTTGACTTGGCCGCGCTTGTTCGAGAAATGACTACGTCAATAACAGCATCCTGAACTGTTTGATTGCCTGATTTCGAGTTTGGAATCACATTTGGGGTTTTCGTGGTGGTAGGTGTGGCTTCTCCTCCCTGCCCGGGCGTGGCATGAGATTCACCAGCATGTGCGCGAACTCCCATCTCATCAACAAGTGCGTCTAGAAAAACCTCCCAAGTGACCCAAACAGGATGCCCATCTTGGAGCATATCGATGCCCACTTGGGACAGGGTCTGACCGCGGAGTTGCTCGAGGGTTGTTGAAGCTTCGATTTCGTTGACGTTGTCCTGAACGAGCCCTAGCATTCTGCCCAACGCCTCATTGGCCAGCACCACGGTTTTGAGGCTATTTAACACAAGGGTTGGAACAGGCAGATATTGCAAGGCCGAGAAAGCAAGCTGCCCGGGGGAAATTGCGGGCATCTGCAGTCGTAGAGGATTCGGGGAAGCTGTACGGGTCTCTGGCCTGCTAGAGTTTCGGCTGTCTCTAGAGAACCGAGCGCCAGCTACCAGGGGCGTGGGATCTGTGAGGGTGCCATGCTCCGGCTCGTTCGATTCGTCAACCGTTTCGGTCTTCAGCTGGGGCACTAAGGAGCCATTTAGTGGCATAGAAAGAGTATGCTCAGTCTCTGGCGTAGAATTTGTGACAGCGATAATCGGCCTAGAAGCTCGCAGCTCGCTGGTCTGTAAAGACGACGGTTCGGAGGAGAGCATGTCGTTCGGGGGGTATGGCGTCCGGGATTCACAGTCGACCGGCTGGAGAAGTCGATTGAGCCTCGGCAGATGATATCGTACAGTTGGGAAGCCTGGAACTTATCACCAATACTCTGTTGATCGACGGGGTCTTGACATGGCGCTAGATAGACGTCCCTCTCAGTGGTTATTACCAGTCCACGGGTGGTAGTACCTGCCGCTGATCTGTCGCAAGAGAGCAGGCGCTTGCCTCAGTCACTGATACTGATAGCAGGTTGCTCTGGAAGTGTCGGATGAAGAAGGCGGCCTGGCCCATGTGAGTGATTGAGGGAAAGGGAAGGGTTATGTTGAGCGGAGGAGAGGGAAAGATGATTAACAGCCAGGATGATGGGAATTGCTAGTTCACTCCACACCGATTGGAGGGAAGAAAAGCTTGGCCCTACAGCTAGTTGAGGAGAGCCAACGTCCCAGGCTAGGTTATGACGGTGGTCGGTAGGAGAAGAGTGGATGGGTGGTCGATTACATACATACCTTACTTACACCCGGTACCGCAGGAAAGCTTTGCTTGTTGGGGAACCTCGAGACCCTGACACCCAGAACGGCACACCAGCAGCACTGGCTTGCATTCAATTAAGAAGGGGACCGCTGCTTGAGAGGGGCGTCTAGGCATTAGGGTGGGCGGGGATCTTGGGGCTTGGGGTGTGTGGGAGGCGGTGGGCCTCGGCGGGGAGCAACCTCTGGTTTCTGAGATGGAGAGGGATGTGGATGGATGAAGTAGGAAGGCTGCAGTGGTATGCCATGGGCGATGTATACGGATGTAGGCATGTGTGGCCCAAGTAAGACACGCCGGCGAGAATGCATTTGGATTATGCATCTCGACGTGATCTAGAATGGATGAAGGGCTTTTCCCAACTTCCTGGAAGGAGCTGGTGGTGGGAGGAGGGTGTGCGATGGAGCAGTAGTCGATCCACTAGTCGATGCTTTTTGGTTTGGCTCGGCCTCGTTACGTACCAGCGGAAGAATTGCCCCTAGGGTACCTCCCTAGAGCTTCGGTTTGAGTAGAGTAGCAAGCTAAGGTACTAGCCCTGCCGTCATGACCTGGCAGACACCCTACCTGAGCTCCACGACTCCTAGCATACGGCAGAGGCAGTGTAGAATGTCGCGTGTTCTGAACCGGGGTTTTCAGGCGGAAAGGGACATGGCGAGGGCCGACGACAATGTACATACATGATGATGGTGGTGCAAAACGCTGCAAGCGGACACAACCGGACGCAGCGATCGGCACCCTAAAAACAAGGGTCCACACAATCGGCAGCGGGAAGGCACTTGCGGCCAAGCAATCTGAGCTTCGGCACTCCAATTGTGAGGGCAGCTGTGGTGATCCTTGATCGCCCGTGAGACACGGAAGGCCTCTGTGTGCAGGAAACTGCCCACGCATTCTCCTCTGTTGGCAGATTTTCCATGCGCCTACACTGAGAAATCCATCTGGCTGTCACTCGTGCGCCAGTATAGCCTCAATCGGGGCTAACAAAACCCACAGTGCTAGGCACATGGTTCGGGTGGAGCTGTGCTTTTGGTCTGGTTTGCATGAGATCAGGCACCATTCGAGAAACTCCCGTGAGAGGTCAATACGAGTAGCTAACTGTGGCCAATATTAAGGTTGGTGCGCTTTATCAGTAGAGGCCACAAACTGGCTCCTACACGATATCAGAACTAGGCCATATCCCCACAGTCTACATATTCTCACAACATTCGGTGCGACAAACATGAACGCACGAGTCTGCTTTCCTTTCACAGCACAGGATGCAGAGTGCACGACACAATGCACAGCAGAAGTGCAGGTAGCCATGGCCAGGTCCACCAATTCTGAGGGAGCCAGAGTGTTTGAGTGGAACTGATGAGCGATGCTAAGCTCGAAAAACCGTATGAACCGAAGCTAATGGCAGTTCGCCTCACTGTTGCAACCTGTCGCCGCACCACACCCCTCCTCATCGCAGCTCAACTCGCTTATGATGCGTGGCAGGGGAGGGGGCAAGGGGTTCTAGACCAGTCTTGGCGTTGATCAGGTCCCAGGACCACGTTCACATTTGGGTCTTGACGGCCGGCACTTGCTGGGCCCGACTGCCGTCATTCCTGGACAGCTTCAACAACGGCCATTTCAGCATTCGTGAAGCTCAGCATGCAGCAATTGACGCCCTACACACCAGCCCTCAATTACCACCTACGACTCACCCACACTCCCCCGATGTCATTGCCAAGCCCAGCACTCTGAGACAAACTACCCGATTGGATCCAGCCGCATGACATACCCACGTCTCGTCGATCATCTCCATTCTCTCCCTGGCTTTGACGTCATGCTCAGTTAAGCCCATCCATCGTCTCGCTGTCCTGACCCTGCGTCTGAACAAATCCCCTTACACCAACTCCGCCCCACGATGACGCCTAGCTGTCACTTCTCCCGTCTCCGTGAGCCGCTCTCCGCTCGGGCCTACGTGATTTGCGAATTCGGCTACCATTTCATCACGGTGCATGAGAGGGCTTTCAGGGTCCTGCAGGTTGACATGGGACAAGGGCAGATCACCCACACCACCAACTTTGTCGTCTGAACGGATCATAGCCTCTTATGCCAGCCCCCTCATTGGCGCCATTGTTGTCATCGAACGTGGAAGCATGTCTCTAGTGGATCACAATTGCACGTCGTCTACCGGGTTGATGGTGATGACCGCATTTGGAGTTCACGGCGCCCTACCAACCACATTTCTCCTCATCATCTTACACCTAAGATTGAATCTGCGACTGGCATTTCGCATTTGGATTCGATTGAACAAATTTCATTGTCGACGAGTACGTAACTCCAAACATCTACTTGCGATATAGGAGATAGCCCCCGGAGATAGCCCCCGCATTCCTCTACAGCTTCGTAGCAAGCGCTCTCAGCCTTACATAGCTGATCATTTCTCCCCCATCGGGATTTCTGCAGACTTCCCTCAACGTCTCTGCAATCTCCTTGACAACCTCTTCCCTCTCCTTCTCATCCTCCACAGCGTGCAATATTTGACTTCCAAACAACCTGACCCATCCCTCCACCCCACCCTTGTCAGCTTGCGTTGGTCGCCACTCCCGCTCGACCTTGTCCACTCTGAAGCCAGCCTTTTCAAGCACACCCGTGATCCATTTCTCTTCTGGGAAGAACCACGGGTCGGCAGCAAGCGCCGCCTTCATGCCGACGCGGCGGCTAACGGTCATAAGGAGAGCAGTGCGCATTTCAGCTACATTGCCCAGGCCGCCCATCTCAAGAGAAAAGGTACCGCCAGTCTTCAGAGATGCGGCTACTGCATCAAACACTGCCTGTCTGGTCTCTTCCTTGCGCAGAATCCAGTGCAGAGCAGCATTAGAAAAGGCCTTGGTAAAGGTACCTTTCTGCAAAGCCGGGTTGGAAGGTATATTTGTAGCATCAAGAACTAGAAAATGCGATTAGTATAGGCTATCCATAGCATCATTCGAGTGAAGCAGCCAACCTTCAAAGGTAGTGTTCGTAGTGTCCTTGCACAGTTCCTTGGCGGCCTTGATCATCGCCTCTGAGCTGTCAATGCCGTAAAGGGATCCGGTTCCTTGAGCCAAAATCTTGGAGAACTCGACATCCAAAATTCCATCTACGCCGGCCCATCAGCAAAAATACGGGTGAGCAATCGGCATCACAACTTACCGCCGCAGCCCACGTCCAAGAGAACATCGTCTTTTTGGAGGTCGAGCCACGTGACTACTTTTCCTGCAAGTTTGGGCACGAAGGAGGCACTGTGCTGGTAGTCCTGGTCCAGTGTTAGCTGGGACAGGCCCAAGAACAGCCTCGGATTTATCATCCACTTACACCAGCACTCCAATGGTCTTTTTCGCCTTGCTGCTGAGCCATCTGTGAGGATTTGGGTAGTTTGCAAATTGATGCAAATTGATATTTAAATTTTATTTCTTGCCTGGTTAAATTGATCCATGACTGAGGGGTTCTTCTGGACAGTTTATATAGCAATCTGAGGGGGCCGAGATCGGAGGACAACTGAATAGCTACACCAATCAATCAGCACATTGCAACGGTAAACCTACCGGAAATAAAATGATGTATGAATTATTTAAGCAGGAAATGGATGTAATAGGTGGGAATATGAACTTTGTGTTCATCATTATCATCGGTGGGTAGAATCTTGGAAAAGAACATAGCAACCTCAGATATATGGTTGAGGCAGGAGGTAGGTTGCTAAACGGGTTGCATTCTTTACATCTATGCCAAAGCTTGAAGATGGACACTAGAGAGAGGAAATAAATACTTGGTCATGTTCATCCGTGTCTTTTTTTCCTCTTCTAGTTTTTTGACGAACATTCTGATACCATCTCATGTTTCCGTCCCATGGGTGCAAGTGCAGGGACTACATGTTTATTCTCTTTTTACTTTAGTGTCATTTTAAGTCGACAGTAACATTTGTTTCAATACATTCTCAGATATATAATCATCATTAATGGAGAATATAATTCTGTAGTTGTATTTGAGTGGAAGACTAACTGGGAGCTTGGCTGCCAATATTGTACATGGCTATCATTCAAAAGACTTGGAGCTTCTTCCTTGGGACGACAATCAAGCCTGCCTTCTACGTGGGGCTTTGATTAAAAGAGGACCAACCAACGAATCAAGATATATGTATTTAGCTATACTAGATTGGCCACCGTCACAGTATAATCTAATCTTCAGGTACCTCCATGCCGACCTATCCAGACCCCGACTGATTTATGTAAGCATCGAGGCCGATACCGCGAGACCTCTGAACGGCAGCTCAGATAGGAGGGAGTTAGGCAAGGGGGCAATAATGTGCTTGATTGATATGATGGAGCAATTTCATTCGTTCATGCCCTTCTTCTGGGCCCCCTGATTTCGATTTCAGTTTGCGTTCATGCTCTGGGATAATTTTGTCGGTGCTCGCAGCTGAGAACGCACAAGCGGCGTGCTGGCCAATCAGCGACCGCTGGTGGGTAGCTCCCCGACCACCTCCTCTTATCGTCGTGCCCCAGATAAGGTGAGTTTGCAAGCTGTGGGCAAAGTATCGTCATTCAAGAACCTGCCCAACGGCCGGCCGGGATGCCCAATATTTCTCTGTCTACATCCCCAACCTCCTCACATATATTATCTTCATCATGTCTAACGACGAGAAGCCATTCTTGGATGTCGTGAGTGGTCATGTGAGATATCTCCCTCTTCCTTGGTAGAGCCTCTTTTAAGAGTCGGTGTGCTGATATCAGATGACTATATAGCTAGGGCCCCTACCCGTCCTCTTTCGAAAATACACCGACGAAGCGGCCGACTACATTGAAGACCATGTCGATCAAGCCGCAACTTTCGTCCGCCGCACGATAAACTCAACACCATGGGTTCCGGAGGTCATCAAGGGAGCCACTCCAGCCCCTCCCCCGCCACCAGATGTAGCTGCCGTCGTCTTATCTCGATTTGAAAGATTCCAGGATTGGGTAGCAAGGCACAAAATCCTCACCGGCCTCATCGTCGTTACTTGCAGCTATGGTGCCTACAAAGGATACTTGGCAAACAAGTCTTTCCGAAAAATCCGTCGGGCGAAGAGGGCGAGGAACGGTGGCCGCACCGATGTCGTCGTCATCGCGGGGTTGGCCTCTCTTCCATTGACCAAGTCTCTTGCTTTGGACATGGAAAGACGTGGTTTCATTGTCTTCGTCGTGTGCAACGCCGCCGAGGATGAGAGTACTGTCGCTGCTCTCGCCCGGCCTGATATCCGGCCACTCGTGATCGATACGACTGATGTGCGTTGTCCCAAACTAACCTCACGAAGCCTGCCTCTGTGCTAACCTCTCTCCCCTCCCAGCCTCCACGAGCTGGATCATCGATCGAGCGCTTCGCTGAGCACATCCAGTCGCCTCAAGCGCCAGGTCCCAATATCAAGCCGAACCAGCTGACTCTGAAGGCTGTTATTCTGATTCCCAGTCTCCACTATCAGACTTCTCCCATTGCCACTATCCCACCTTCCAGCTTCGCCGATCTCTTCAACACGCATCTTCTCCAGCCGATCCTCACAATCCAAGCCTTCCTGCCTCTTCTGACGTCTCGACTTCAGCCTGTTGGGGAGAAATGGATCCCTCCCAAGGTTCTTGTCTTCACACCATCCATCATTTCTTCCATTAACCCACCCTTCCATGCCCCCGAAGCCACCGTTTGCTCTGCCCTCTCCGCCTTCACTGAGGTTCTGACCGCAGAGCTCCGGCCGCTTGACATCCCTGTCACTCACATGCAGCTGGGAACTTTTGACTTCTCTGGCTTCGTACCCGCCCGACAGGCTGCTGCCATGCTCGCTGGCAACCCAGAGGACACCCTTGTTTGGCCAGACGGTGCAAGGCACGTTTACGGTCGTAACTTTGTTGCCCAGTCCAGTTCCGCAATCTCCGGTGGTCGTATTCGTGGGCTGAAGGGCAGCTCTCTGCGAAACCTGCACAACTCCGTCTTTGATGTCATCGACGGCTCCATCAAATCCACATCCGTCCGTGTCGGCCTCGGAGCTGGCGTCTACGGCTTCGTGGGCAGATGGGCTCCCCGAGGTCTCGTGTCTTGGATGATGGGTATCCGAAAGGTTGACCAACTCTCGACGTGGAAGACAACCTCCGACGCGGGCTCATCCACCGAGGAAAGTGAGGATGGTGAGTCGAGCACCGACTTCATTGCCGTCCCTCAAGAGGGGAACGTCTGGCATGCCGAGACCGAGGGCAACGTCTGGTCTCCTGCACGCAAGGCCAACTAAAAGAAAAATCACGACTGTATGTTTGATGGTGTATGGGCGTATATACTCGCTACTCTTACATAAGGGTTTGACCTGTGTTACGATATGAACGAACCTATCTTGGAGGATTATGTATCTCGCCTCTTTTAGATATCACGACTCTTGACATTTTGAATACATTTTTGATGATCATTCAGCGTACGATTTTATTCGTTTGTGACAGCCGCTTGTAGAGAAAGAATTCCTTTTGGGTCCCGTAACGCCGTGTATCCAGAGTCGTCGCCAGGCGGCAGACAAAAACTCTAGATAATATAACAATATTCACATCATATTCCCTCTCATCAAACCCTCTATTCCTCCCCTTCACATGGCCTCTCCTAGTGCCCTCTGCTCCGGTACCGACCTCGTCCGCCCCTCCACCGTCCACCCCTCCCACCACGTCCCATGAACCTGCCGCCGCCCTCATGATCCCGCCCCTGATGCCCATCCCTCGACCTCTCGGGATCTCCTCCTTCCTCCTTCGCCGCCTCCGCCATCCTAATCATCTCCTCCTCCCGCTCCTCGCTCCTCGCCCTCGGCTTCTCCAGGTCCCTCGTCCACTTGGGGTGCGCGCCCACCTTGCACTCGGGCCCGTCGGGGCAGAAGCCCGCGAGGTAGAAGGCGCACAGCTTCCGCCTGACGTGCTTCTTCGCGCACCGCGGCCCCAGCGCGCAGAAGCCCATGTCGTAGTGCGGGCACGGCGGCAGCCGGCTCAGCGGGTCGATGTGCAGATACAAACACTCGTCGCCGTTGGAGCAGTACCCGTTGCGCATGAAGAAGTTGCACTCGGGCATCTTGCGCAGGTTGTACTCGTGCAGGAACTCGCAGTGCTCGCCCTTCTTGCAGAGGCCGCGCAGCCAGTGCTTGCAGACGAGCGAGTTGAGCCCGCCCGAGGGGGCCTGCGAGTCCGCCGTGATGTGCCGCTCGGGGCAGCGCGTGCCGTTGGGGCAGCTGCCCGTCTGGAAGGCGCGGCATACGGGGCGGTCGGGGGGCAGGCCGACCTGGTAGGTTCGCCGGAGGAAGGGGGAGAAGTGGAAGTTGTAGGTCGGGGCCGAGTGGTTGAGGATGGCCGATACGGGCGATTCGGTCGTTGGGGCCGCCATGGTTCGTGGTTCTGGCGATTGCTCGCGATTCTGGGGGTTTGGAAATTCTGGCGCGCGGTGGTGCCTTTCTGATTTGGTGGGGAAGAACCCCAAGATTTGCTCTGTTGGGTTTTCGATAAATATGAGCGGATTGTTTGATGGGATAGTTCTGAGGCTCCAATCTGTGGAAGGAGTGGCGAGGGTTGAAGCTGTTGATGTTGGTTGGAGCTCTTGTGTCGTTCTAGAAGCTTGTGATTAGTGCAGCAGGGGCGAGCTCTGGTGTTTTGTCAGCGGGTCCGTCGCACTTGCCACTCGAGACTACCAAACTGCTACGACGCGGCAGTATTAAAGAATTAAGCACGTTCATTAAGAGAAAAAAATTATTATTCAATTTGATTAGGAATCAAGAGCCACCACAAAATACGGTTTATCAGTCTTTCAATGAAAGGATGGCGCTCAATATGTGTCCTATCTCCATCACACGATTTCCCAATTGCCCAGTGGTCCGCGGTATGGAACCGACCATTAATGAAATAGGGGGATCTCAGTCCACAATCCCAAGAAACAGAAACATAAAAGACATTCCAGCATCTCAAATTTCACGTGAGGAACTCCCGTCAAAGGTACTTCTGTACTCATCCTCATCCTCGGGTTTCTGCCCATAGCAGAACTGGACCTTCACATAGCGATGAATACGGTGGTCCTGGAGACTGGACTTGACGTTCGACACCAAGCCATTCCTCTCATTAGGGGAGATGCCCGTGGCGGCAAAGGGTTTCGCCAGGTACGCGCTGAGAGACTCTTCAACCACCGTCTGCATGAGCCCGCCAAGATATTTGAGCTTCTGATCTGCCGTCCACGTCCCGATTGGCACCTTCTTCGTGACACATTGAACATCGGTAAAACCTGAGTTATTCAGGCTCTCGACCAAATCTTGTGACCCAAAGCTCCGGTACCCTAGCTTGCGCATCCCGTCCGCACTGATCTGAGTGAACGCTTGCAGCGGATCGTCGGCTTTCATGGTATCATCATCACAAAAGATCTGGGGGAGAAACTCCTGAAACTCGACCCAGCCGCCAGGATTGAGGTTCCTATGCCTCGTTCAGTGCTGCTTCCAGGATATGTCGAGCCAGAACTTACGTGTAGGCCTTATTCAGCATCTCATCCAAGTTGTACAGGGTCCATGCCATGTTCCGGAAATGCACCAGGTCGAAGTCATCTTCGAATCCCCAATCTTCTTCTTCACAGTCGTCAACAAACATATGGCAGTTTGGAGGAAGAGCTGATGGTTGGATTGGGGAGAGGTCGGTGCCGACAATGGATGAGTTGGGGTATTTATCCGCAACTAGGAGCTGAGTGTCAGTTACAGCAACGAGCAAACGACCATGTTGTATGGAGCTTTCTAGGGTCGTACGGTCAATTGCCCAAGTTCCTATTCGAAGACCATGTCAGAACTGTCTCGGACGAGAAAGAAAATGCGGTGGGAGTCCACAAGAGAAAGAGTCGCTCTAACCAGTTCCAGTTCCAACGTCGATGACCTTGGTTGGGATCACATCTAGATCACTCATGAAAAGTTGCCCATTCTGATTTGGGAACTATCAGCTCATATTCAGACCAAAACAACATGAAAGATTGGAAAGTCGAGGCTCACAGCAAGCTCCAACATAATATAATGCTTGAGTTCGTCCAAGCTCTGCTCTTGCGCATCATTCGGCAGAGGGTAACGGCCTCGTTTGTATCCGTGATACCGACGATCATGCTGATGCTCGTAGGAATGAACACTAGGAGATATCGAGGTATGGCTCTGGGTATCAAAATCGACGCTATCGACATCAGTCTCGGGACCATGGCAGACGCTGCCTTTGTCGTTGATCCACTCATAACTGTCAGTTTCCAGGTCAGCCCATGATGAGGGTGTAAGAGGCCGATCGTGGCCTGTCCCAGTTGAAAAAGAGATCACACTGTCTGTGTCCGTATTCATCGTTTCTAATCTCGGCACTTGGCTAGAATGAAAATTGTCTCAACCGCCGGCAGATATTACACTACAATATTGAGGTGGATTGTGATCAGCCGTGGCTGTTATAAAGGCCTGTGCTCCCCAAGCTCGCAGCGACCATGTGTGCCTCATTTATGCACGGGGGCAGGCTATAATGCTTTGTGCCACCGAATACAATTGACCACCCGACCACGTACATAGCATGCAGCCTATCAGTGCAGAGCCTAGATTGTGGAGGGTCCTTGCTGGTTGTTGGCAGTCGGCAAAGGGCTTGCCTCAATGGATCCTTCAGCCCCCAAGATGAGGCCTTCACAAATTCTTGGCGGCTGGCCCACGAGTATCACGAACGCACTTGGCCCAGAAAGGGCATGTTCGACCAAGTTAGCCCCATCTTATTGGGCGATGAAACTCGATGTTGGTGATGCAGTCTGTTGGTTACATCGATTGTCTGCCTGCGGGGACCGTGCAGTGAGCCAAACCCTGGTCAGCACCCAAACTTGAGCCCTACCATCATGACTCTGTTGGTTTGACGAGTGATCTTTTTTTTAAGCTTCTCAAATCATTTATCCCCTACGATCGCCACCAATTAGCCAAGAGATGGTGGGCTCGGCCAAAGATGGCTCGTGGACAATCTTGTGTCTGGTGGATGCCATGTCACCATTCATGCGTGCCAGCCCGAGGACGTAGCAGCCTAAAAAGACGATTTTCCGATCTGGTCCTCTCGTGTCTTTCAAGACCTCCAAGGTGGGCAGCTTTTCCGTATCTATCGCAGACCCTTCCGCCCGATACGATCCTCCCCGGTGATTGATGAACTCGAAAAATATCACACTGCATGACGAAAGAGGCACAGCAGCGATTCGCGGCAGTCATCCTCGGTGATTCGTTCAAGTATTATGTGTTTTATGCTGTTGGTCGAGGCGTTTGACAGAATACAGAAGGTGGTCCGACTGGTTACCAGTTTGTCGGTACTCGGTTTCTCAAGGCAGAATCAGCAATAAAGCGCATCTACCAACAATCCATCAAGATACGAGTGGGTCCAGTGATGTGATACCCTCCAAATGGAAGCGAGCAGACCATTGGTGAACTCTATATGTTACACCGTTAGAGTCATCTGATCTCAGCCAAAGTTCGCTCAATAAGCCCAAAAGAGGCTGTGAACAAGCGAATGCAACGCACGCCTTGCTCTCCAATAATCCAACCAAAGTCCTCGATCGAGAATGAAACGAGAGCTCTCATCAGAAGAAGGCAGTTGATTCGGTTCACATACTAGGTATAGGCTTCCGATGTGGGAGCAACGTTTCTACCTGATACATGAAGCAGACAACCGGGGCATCAACAACTTAGAAGCCCGAGCATGGTTAGTTGGGTTTTGCCTCAAGGGCGCGAAGAGAATACTGGGGAAAAGCTTCCTCATCTGGTCACACCAGAACGTCTGTTTCCGTGACCCAATAGAGTGCTTCTTGCTTCCTATTTGGCACTACAATCGACAGGGGAAGGGTTGTCGACGTGTACGCAAGCATACCTAAGAATATGACTTGGGTCTGCTGTTTTGCCCATTGGGCGAGTACCCATTGTCAGGTTTCCCATTGCAGCGAATTTACCATGTACGAACAGTTGTCACATCCGGCCAGGTTCATCCCAAGGGCAAAATGTGCATGCAGAATGCAAAGGAATGGTCGAATCCCGGTTACCCGTGTGATGTGAATGGCTACAGGCATTGGGCGATAGTCCACGGAGAAGGAAGAAGACGGGCCGAAGTAGCGACTGACGTGCCCAAGAATCTCTCCCATTCTCCCTCGGGAGCTATCCAGGTGATACCATGGTCACATGGATACCCCTCCCTCTCTCTGACTGCATGAACGGGCAGCAAGCTACGATAGCAGTGAATCCAACTTCCTCGACTTTCTAGACATGACTTCCAGTATGCGACGTGGAAAAATTCTTACATGTTTTAGGCAACCAGCCCAATCCAGGGTTACTGGGTATAGCAAGCATGATGAGCACCAGGATCAGCCTCCGAAAGGCTTTACAGCGGTTAGTTACTATGTTTAAGGACGGCCAAGACCAGGACAAAACGGGATTTGTAAATAGCAGAGCCCGTTCCCTGACCCCGGGGACGCGCAGATCTCAGCTGTCAGGTCAAAGATCCGGAATTTAGCGGCAATAGACCCAGATATTCGCGCACAGCAACAGCCAACAGCTCCCATTTGAGGATCAGATTGTCGGTGCCATAGTACCCGAGCAGACAAGAGGTGGTGGATAGGGGCTCCTGGCCACATCGCAACCGGCAGTCATGTCAAGCTGCAAGGCGAAGAAGAAACAATTCCTGCTCTTCCCGGACAATGCCCTTGTGGAACTTTTCGATGGCAGACTGCTCGAACTTGTGGGCCGATGCCTATTTAGTAGCGACGTCCGGGCTCCCTGTCTGCCTCTCGGCGACTAATTAGGTGATAGCTGACTCGCTGGACGGTTTGAAAACACTCTGCAACGACCTTGAGGGACGCCAGCGGCTGAGCGTCCAGAATGATCAGCATGCTGCCCAGCGCAGTGTGGGGGCTGCTCAGGCTTGGGGGCTGGCTGCCACCTGGCTCTTTCATGCACGCGGAACCGTACTCTTCCCAGCCAGAGTCCAGATGGATGAAGGGAATAAGATTAACCATTGTTAGATCGCCATTGAGTGTCGACAACACGGCCGGAAAGGCACGCAATGCAATGTGATACTGGGTACCTGAAGCTACTGGGCCAGGCTAGACCAGATGGGACAAAGACCAGGTTTGAGTCGATAATTAGGTTGCCCGGGCTTAATATGGAGGTGAAATGATGTGCAGATTGGGACGGTCCGTGTGCAGCTTCCAGTTTCATCCTGTTACTGCTAGTAGGAGCAACTACATGTCATCAGCCAAGCCATGACTCGGCAAATTAGCATTTTAGTGTTCTGGAATTCGATCTCGCCAAATAACCCTCCTGCCTCGGCTGGTTACACGGAACAATCTGTTGCCAACCACTTGCTAGTGGTCAATGCAAAACACACGGCCGACGACGTTAGCTCGAGCACCAGGCCAGTTCGCCGACAGTCCTCCAACATGGCCGAGGGAGTGACCACACACGTCGGGTCTGTGTAGGATCCTCAGAGACTGGCCAAGAGGAATCTGGCCTGGGAAGGATGGTTTGCCCTCTTCCTCTTCCTCCCACAACTCAGAAGACCGGCCGGACATCCTCTCCTATGTTTTGCCTAGCCATATCACTGGGCCGGGTTGCAGCACAAACCTTTTTGCTTGGATCCTCCGACTCAGCATGGCGTCTGGCCGCTGTGGCCCGCTTTTGACAGCTTGAGATTTGCTCTGCTCCCACCATTCGGCCCAGCCATACCCGAGGCGCCTTCTGTGATTCTTCCATGTGTTCTGCCCCATTCCTCTTCGGTACATGGAAGCTCGAGCCTTACAGTCCCTGTCATCTTATTCATAGCCTTTACTGCTACGCCCCCCGCAATTATGTCACATACTCATGGCATACTACCTACCCACCATGTGCGTTAAGCACGGCCGTGCTTCTCAGTCGGAGCCTCTTGGTGAGACGTATTAATAGCTCCATGTCTGCTTGAATGTTGATAACCAGCTTCGCCTCGCGGAAGGTTGTATATTGATCCACCAGCGCCTGATCGTCGCCTTGGGAGCCTCTTTCATACGATACAGATTGTATGAATAGCGGACGAAGTAATACACGCCCCTTGGCCAGCGAAGCTCTTATTTATCTTATCAAGGAGCCAGGGGTATGCCAAATACTCGGATGGGCCTCTCTTTTCGAGTACATATGAGCACGAAAACGACGGCAGTTGTATAAAGCAGAGAACAGCCATCCTGGGACTCGCAGAATCTGCTCCTGTTCTTCATTCCCCAAAGCAGCTATCCATTCATCGTGGCAGGTCGTCTATTCTCTCAAACGCTCTCCGGGTTTCGGCGCCCTATACTCTCCCACCTCGGGACCTTTCCGTATTTTCGTCTTTCTATTATACACACAATGTTGAGGAGCGACTGAGCCTACCCTGCCATGAGTTCGTCGTCATCACGGAGGTCGCGTAAAGCGACTGACATGTCCAAGGTCATGTTCACCAACGCCGTGTATTTCCCCAACCATCGAATCTACCAAGGCGATAGCCCCGGCATGCTCAACTACAGCTGCATCAACCACGTTTACTACGCCTACGCTAGTGTTACAGCGGACGGTGGTGTCTTTGTAAGTGGCCCTTTTCTTGGAGATTTTTTCGGGATTTTTTAAGCTTTTCGCTGCTTTCTTTTGGGGGGCGGGCTCCACGTACGCGTATACTTACGTATGTCTGTGGTTTGGCACTCTAGTTAAGCGATGAATGGGCCGATGCTCGGGCACCGGTGGATGGAGTTCAAGGAGGTTTGGGATCCTTGATGCATCTGAAACAGAAACATCCCCATCTCCAGGTTGTGCTGTCAGTTGGCGGCGCTGCGGCATCCGAGACGTTCCCAATCGTGGCCTCGAACACTCTGACTCGTGACAATTTTGCGCGATCTGTCCGGGGACTGGTAGAAGCCTCTGGTCTCGACGGAATCGACAGTAAGTTCAATCATCTCTAGCTGTCTGGGCAAACTGCTTTTCGTGAAGCTTTTGTAGTGACCATCCGGGCTTCTAGTTGCTTGGGAGTATCCAAGTGATTCCAAACAGGGACATGACTTTATCGCTTTACTGGCAGCGGTCCGAATCCATCTCCCTGAGGATTACTACACTTTGACTGCAGCCCTGCCGACAAGCAGAGCAGTCCTTCACTATATCGACCTCAAGATGGCTGCCGAGTATCTCGACTACCTCAATCTCATGGCATACAACTTCTCAGGATATTGGAGCTCCAAGAGCGGGCACCATGCTCAGCTCTACTCAATGAGCAAAGATGAAGAGTCCGGGTCGTCTGGTGTATCCTATCTCATATCTCATGGCTTCCCAGCCAAGAAAATCCTCCTAGGTATTCCCACCTTCGGTCGGAGCTTCCTCCACACCAGCGGGCCAGGACATCGGTTCAGAGGTTGCGGTGGCAGCGAGGAAGGGACGTTCGAATACAACCAACTCCCACGTCACGGCTGCAAGGAAGTGGTAGACAAGCGCCATGTTGCCGCCCAATGCGTTGGGGACGATGGAGGCTTCGTCACATATGACAACCCTGAAACTGTGAAGTTGAAGGCGAGCTATTGCAAGCAAAAGGGATTGGCTGTAAGTCTCAATCTTTGCATACAATTACGCCACATGAATCACGACTTACTCACTACTGATACAGGGGCTATATTACTGGGACGGCCCAGCAGACTCGAGGGATAAATCGAGAAGCCTGGTGGCGGCTGGCTTCCGCGCCCTCCACACTTCATGAGCAATTGACCAATTTTGATGATTTCCGGAATCGCCTCGCCTGGAGCGAGAGAAAAACAAAACAAATAGCATGGCATTGGAAGGCGTCCTCTTTTCTAGGAATTGTTTCGTTGCTTTCTGGGGTCAGGATATGAATCTAGGGTTGGGTGGCACTATTAATCTAGGGATTATTGCATGGGCCGGTACGTTACGACAATATAGACTTGGACGGGGCTGCCTTATGTTATGATCAGAATGACTTTATACAATTACCCTATTTATTCATAATTGACTTTGTTGGCTTTACAGCTTCTCAACAATTGGCACAAGATTTGCACATTGTGTGATCCAAACTTCACGATGTGAGAGACACTTCTGGAAATCCACAAATCGACCATACGAGATGAACGATTCGAGAAAGTAAAATACACGCTCTAATCTACCTAATCCAATGAACATGCAGAAAAATACGCGGAAAGAACGAACACGGCATATGCCGTTGGAAAGGCGGGCTGCCTCGTCACCACTCGAAACAGCTGCCTCGCCCTCACGTGGGAAGGCAGCTGATAAGGCTGACAACTCCATCTTTGTCCTCCCAACACCATCCACCGCTCAGTAGCATCCGGGAACGGCCTTCACACTTCTCCCCAATATTTCCCCAGTCAGCGCCCAACCCTTTTCTAAAGATGGTCAGCGCTGTGGCTACTGCCACTCCAAGCCCCACCCCCATATCGCCGAACCGCCCTCATCGTCATCGCCATGTCCGACAACGGTAGAGAGCCCCAGGCGCATCGGCAGCAGCAGCAATCACCACAGCCCATCGCCCACGGCTCCTACCATGACGACCAGGACGCCGCCGCCGCTGCCCCCGAGCTCCCCCGCTTCGAGCCAATCTTCACCCTCCTGACCAACTCGTCCACAAACGAGACCATCCACCCGCGCGTCCGCTACCTCTTCGCCGACGACGACCCCTCGTCCATCATCGCCCACGAGGCAGACCACAACGCCGACGCCTCCTCGCCCGGCGCCGCTGCTCACCGCACCCTCGTCGTCGACCTCGCCCCCCGCGACCCTTCTTCCACCACCACCAACAACACAACCGCGAACAACTGGTCCGTCTCCTGGGCCGCCAGCCTGAGCCCCGACTTCGCCATCACGGACTCCCACCTCCTCCCCATGCAGCAGGGCGACCACCCCGACACAACAACCTCCACAACCAACCCCGGCGCCCACAATGGTTCCTCCTCCTCCTCCCCCAACGGCGGCCTAATGCTCCGCATCGACGGCGTCGAGCGCGAGCCAGTCGACGTGAGAGGCGGGCCCTCAGCAAGCAGCAGCAACAGCCTACCGGGCAGCAGCGGCTCGGCAACAGCAGCGGCGGGCCGCGAGGACGTCGAGGCCCTGGTGGACGACTTCAGGCGCCGCATGGGCGTGCTGAAAAAGGTCGTCGGCGAGGGCGAGCGGCGCAGGGAGGCCGTCCGCGCGGAACAGGAGCGGCACGAGCAGCAGCATGAGCACCCGCCAGAGGGAGCCGCCGGCAGCCCGGGTCTGGATGCGGACGCGGAGGGCGTCGAGGAGCATGATCACATGAGGGATAGCGGATGAAGGACGATGGCAAAGCGAGCCGGCGGGTTGACCACTCCTTCGCCTGGTCTACAGAACATCATGCCATGCCGCCATTTGTGTGGTTTTTGGGTGCTACGGTTTTGGTAATAAAATCAGTCCTCGCCCTCGTCCTGACCGCGAAAGGCAGTGCGACTTGGGATCGGGTTACGGCTACGACGATGGCCTAAGACGAGGATTGAAGCAGTTGCGGCGCGGGTCTTACTACAATACCATTATTGCATTTGGCGTTCCCGGATAATAAAGAAACCTTGATTTCGGCCTTTGTTTTTACATCAGATAGATAGCATCAAGGGACAAGGCAGCGCGACTATTGAGAATCGATATGATTAAAAAAGAAGTAGTATCCAGCGCCCAAAATGCAATCAACTCCTATACTAAAGGAAAAGACAATGTGTGTGCATGCCCAACAAACGCAGAATGCCAATCCAAAGCAATCGTCCCACAATAGAAAAATGAAAAAGAAGTGTTGAGATAAAGAAAAGTCCGAAGAGACAGCTTGTGAAAATATCCTGATATGTCCAAGCCTTTTTTATTCTTCTGTGGAATAGTGACCCAACCTGCCAAAACCACAGGATCCAGAGAAAAAAAGCCAGTTAGGAGCCGGAACGCAGAGGTCTATCGGTAGTCATGAAGAAAAGAGAAGATATTTAGGGAGAGAAAGGGTCATGTTTCCAATTCCAACAGAAAATACGTTGGATGTCATCGCTCTGATTGTCCAAGGGGACAGACACCATTACGACGGTAGTTGAGGCAAATGAACTCGGTTGCGAAGGGTCTGATCGTAACCCGCAAGCGAACGGCCAACGATTCGAGAGTTGATGGGGAGGGCGCGGACAGGGAGGTCTGGGAATTCCTCAAACAGCGATCGCTTCTGCGACTTCTGCGGTGTGAGCTTGCCATTGACCGCAAGGACGATAACGATGATAATGGCGATGACGACCAGGATGGCGACTGTGCAAAATTAGTGATAATCCTAAACCGGCGATACCGGGCGTACTTACGACAGATAAGAGCACACCAGAACTTCTTCCTGCGGGTGGCTCGGGCTGTCTCGACAGCGACACCAATCTCCTTGTTCCCGTGTTCCAGACTCTCCACAACGTCCTCGGCCTTGTGCTCGATGTCTGTAACCATCTCCTCCTGCTGGACAACAAGAGTGTCCATATCCTGGAAGAGTTGTGAGAGCTCGACCATCTGCTGCTCGATCTTCTGGAGAGCACGGTGGCGGTCCTGGACTGCACTCAGAGCAGCACGGGCCCGTCCCTGACGATCGCTCTGCATCAGAGCCTGGCTGAAAACCTGGGCACCGTTTGGGTCCTCGACGACTTGGCGGATCTGCTCCTCGGTGGCATCGGGTCGAACAATGCGGTACTGGCGGGCCATCTGGTCCTGGGTGCGCTTGCGGAACTGGGACTCGACGGACTGGTACTGCTGGATGGCGGCCTTGAGCCGGCGATCAACACGGCTGACCTGGGGCTTGTTCTTGGGCGACTGCGCATCGGGCTTGGACTTGACTTGTCGTACACGCTCTGTCAGGGACCGGTATAGTGCCATCGTGTCGGTGCTGAGCGAGTCGAGCTGCTGGTTAGCAGTGCTCGAGGCGGAGTTGTCGGCATCGTCGAGGGTGCGTTGCTGGAGGACGCGGAGCTGGTCCAGGTTCGACTCGACCTGCTCGATGCCGCGATCGATGTCCTTGCACTCGTTGAGGATAGCATTGGGATCCGCGCGGACCTCGGAGCTGTCTTGGAAAGGGTTGGCGTTGTCTTGGAACGAGTTCATCTCGTAACCTGAACCTTGGGGAGTGTTAACCAAGATATTCTCCCCTCCTCGGCCATTGAAGTTGGCTGACTTACCACCGCCTCCGTAGGGGTTATACTCAGTGCCATGGCTATCACCACCAGGTATCTGGTTGTATTGGCCGCCCCGGTTGTATCTGTCGCGCGCCTGTCAGCCAAACCTGATTGTCCACGTTGCGTCTAGTCGAGGCCATGCAAGAGACCACTAGCGAAATGGACGTACCCGTACTGCTGATTTTCGTTCATGATTAGCAAATTTATCAATACAGAGATATTGTGAGAAGTGGAAAATAATTGAGGAGAGCGAAGCTGCGCAAAGGGCCGCCTAGTAGAGGAGCCGGTGGCATTTACATGGGTCGCAGGATCCTCATCGATAGATGAAACAGTATTAGGGGTAGGAGGGTATAATGCGAGACAGTAGACTTACACTCATGGTTGCAGTGTGTTTGGGGGCTGTTGGGTCGTCCGGAGTGTCAAGGAAAAGCTAGAAGGATGCAGAATGTGTCTGGACCTTTTGGCACACGGCGTATCGAGGTCACAAATAAGCCACTGAATGGATGAAAGAGCAAAGAAATTTGATGATGACCGCCTTGGTTAAAAGGAGAGGGATGAACGGAAAGGCAGGGTCCCGCCACGGACGGGGTGAGCAGGGGCTATTTTGCTACCCCAGCAATGCAATGGCTCCCACCACCTACAAACGACCTACAAAAGCGGAAGGGATCAATACACAGACAATAGTAGCAGCCGCAGGCATGCTAAAGTCCTCTTGCAGCCGCAGCCGTGGTCTAGGTCCTTACGCACTCGATTGGGCTGAGCAGCGGCGTTGGCTAGACGCAGATAGTCGCCGTCGTGGGAAAGTCAGCGGTGGCCTAGGCTGACCACCAGAATCCGTCTGCGATGGAATGTACCTGCTCGTAACTTGGTCCGCGGACTAGCACTAACGTTGCAGGTCTCTCCTGCTTTGGTAGCCTCCCGGACCCCATGCACTGCCCCGTGTTTCTTATGCGTACCTCGAGAAGCGCAAGGATGGCGGCGGTTGATCGAGTCCGAGACTCGCCAGCCAGCCGATGCGAACCAGCTCAATCCAAGCGCCAGCACCAGCTGAGCTGATTCGATATGCAGCGTGTACCAGCCGGTACCTTTGCGCCCTACGCACCTCTCGCGCTTAGAATGGAAAACAGCCTGGTGGGCATCGTCCCCACCACAATGGACCCTTGGCGATTGGCTAGCACTCAAGAAGGTTGTTTCAGCGCAAAGCCTCAACGACCCATGATCTGGGTCTCAAGCTTCAGTAGCACAGCGCCCGCCGTCGATCAGACCTTGCTTGCGAGCATGGGCTGGTCCCGACTGCTCTGGATGTGAGGTGCCAGGTCCCAGCAGAGCAACATCTTCCGAACCCACGGTTTACACGATGAACCAATCACCCTCCCACCTCCACCTCCAAATGGGATCTAAAATAGTTTCGGACGGAGCTGGTGTGCTGCTGACCGCAGAGTATATGCAGTGCCTACGTAGTGCAAAACTAGCAATGGATCAGATTGTTCTATTTTTTCCTCAGCTGTGATGTAAGCAGCCTGACTGCCAGCGAAAAGTTGTCACCCCACCCACTTCTGGGCTCAAGCCCCGAACCCGAGAGGAGCAGACCGCGACACTACAGGGATACACCCAACAGATCAATATGCATAGTCCATTTATCTGGGACTCAATGTAGGGAAACCATGGCAGCACGGACGAAATTTATAAATTTATCTGATCGCCCAAAGTTCGGCCTAGATCTTCGCAAAATTTATTCCAGGAACTGCCCTACAGCAACCCATGGCGGCTTGAGACATGGATGACCAGACTTCAATTCCCCGCCATTGTGCTCGTTGCGAGTGAGACTACTGAACTAGAGCTAGCCTGATTCAAGCGCCCCCAATCCCAGCGACCGTCAGCACACACTCAAGGGAAGACAGACTCTTTTCGAGGCGATGGATTGGCAGCCCAGAGTGCTGTACGTAATGCTTGTCGAAGGATGCAGACTGCAGCGTACCATTTCAGCATAACGTTCCGAACTATATGTCCGCTTGGTAACCTCTGCCGATGCAACCTATTCCCATGCCCGACTCACAGGACGGCATATGCAGAGACGTAGCTGACACTCGACTCCCTGGGCGACTTGACAAGCTGGCTTCGCTGATATTGGACGATTTTGAACTTGCCTTCTCCCTTGGCGTCCTGCTCGTTACGAATATGCTCCAGCCCTGCCATAGCCACCCCGATTGGGTGCCGGCCACAGACAGTGTTTCCTGTTAATTTTAGGTTGTCAACGAATGCATCGTGGCTCCCGCTCTCCACCGCGTCCATCGCAGCTTCGTCGATGAGACGGATTGTCTCATGGATGGGCGGTCCTACCGGGGCAGGCTCATTCCTCCGTAGATTTCTCAGGTTAGAAGGGTCATTGTCAGGTGAATATACCATGTAACTGAAGTGGCCACCCCAGTGACAAAAGTCGGAGCTGATGATGAATGCATTCTCCGGGTCCTTGAGGTAGGGAACAAACGCAGTCGCAGCCTGCTTCTCCTCGGCCCGGTCATTATCGCCAATCAGGATGGGGACAATCGGTGGGAATTTATCAGGCGATCCAAACGTTTTCTTCAGAGTCTTGTAGATGTATGGGGTGTGCATCTCAAGCGAGTGCTCGTCGGCATCCCGCTGTGGGGGGATCGTGTCGAAACGGCCCGCTTGCCTGACAGCGTCTATGGCCTCTCGGTCGACGACAAGGTCGCCGAACGGCGTGGCATACTTCCCAAATGTGGTTACCGCGCAGCCGGATAGATAGTATGTGTGGGATGGTCCAAGGAGGAAGATTCGCTTGGCCTTGCTGAGGTCGAGACAGCTGTAAGCCCAGGCGGCACAGGGTCCAGAGTAGTCAAAGCCCGCATGTCTGGCCCAGTGTGTCAACAGATTGTCGCTTTTTATTCATCTTGGGGGTTTATAAACGCACGGAGCAATGATTATTCTTGCTCCCGGTACGGGGAGTGCAGAGCCGTCAATATTTGCAGGCACAGCTCCAAGGTATTCATCAAGCTGCTCCTCGAGCTCCTCGGGGTCCCTCACGTACCAACTACCTGCCTTGGTTGCTGGTCGAGTAGCCATTTCACCAGCTGTTGCGTGGAGGTGAAACAGGGTGTGAGGGGCGAG